GCACGAAATTTGGCATAGCGTACTAAATTAAATCTAGAATGGTGTGTGCTAAGTTTCGTGGAAATCGGTCCTGATTTAGATATAGCTCCGATATATATTTTCGTCCGATTTAAGGTAAATGGTACGCCAAAGTGCCTATATATCTTTCGATTTGCACGAAATTTGGCAGTTTAGCAAATTAAAAATATTAAAATATCAAAGCCTCTACTGAAGCATTTCCTGTCTTCTCTTTCTCTCAATTTTAATGACATTTTGCGGTAACGTATGACAGTTCCATTGAATTTAATGTCATTACCGGACAATCTCAATATCATCATTGACAATGGTTTGTCAATGTCATCACGAGATTACATCAATTTGGATTTTTTAGAAAAAAAAAAATAAATCTGTCAATTCTTCCTCCATTCATTGCGAATATTGAATTAAAAATGCTATGCAGAATTCATTAAAAAGTTTTTTATTTAATTTTTTTTTTCGAAAAAAAATATCTCAGCTCGGTCTTTAATTACTTCTGAAATACCCAAACGTAGAGATTTGTTGTAATGAGGCAACAACAACAACAAATCTGTCGTTTCTTTTATTAAATGACAGATGTGAAAATAAAATAAAAACATTTCAAATGCAACGTAAGACTTCTAAATATAAAAAAATGATTTCTGAAACGGATCCAAATTTGATATTCCATTCAGCAGCGGTTTAAACATTCACCGACACACAGAGAGGTACTTAGATCACACATGATTTACAATAAAAACACACACACATTTATGTACATAGATAGACGATCAACACAAGACAACAGTTAAAAAAAATTAATTTAAAAAATCCACGCCTTGGTTAAAGTGTCGAAAAATTAATTTTGAACCAGTAGAAGCAGTAAAGTCGGACTAGGCCGACCATATGATACCCTTCACCACTTTGAGTATATTCTACATATGTCTCCTAACAGACTCCGCCTTTTCGTAAGAACATTGACATGATATAATATATCTAAATCTGAACCGAACCGATGCCAAATTTCGTGCAAAGCGATAGATATATAGGTACTTTATGCACCATATACATAAAATCGGACAAAACTATATACTGGAGCTATATCTAAATCTGAACCGATTTTCACGAAACTCAGCACACATCATTCTAGACTCAATTCAGTGCGCGATGCCACATTTCGGGACTTAGGTGCAACATTTACAAAAAATCGGACAAAACTATATATAGGAGCTATATCTAAATCTGAACCGATTTTCACGAAACTCAGCACACATCATTCTAGGCTCAATTCAGTACGCTATGTCAAATTTCGGGACTTTGGTGCAACATTTACATAAAATCGGACGAAAATATATATGGGAGCTATATTTTAATATGAACCGATTTTTACGAAACTCAGCACACTTCATTCTAGACTCAATTCAGTACGCTATGCCAAATTTCGGGACTTTGGTGCACCATATACACAAAGTCGGACGAAAATATATATATGGGAGCTATATCTAAATCTGAACCGATTTTCATGAAACTTAGCACACATCATTATAGACTCAATCTAGTACTCGATGCCAAATTTCGTGCAAATCGAACGATATTTAGGGACTTTGGTGCACCATTTACATTAAATCGGACGAAAATATATGGGAGCTATGTCTAAATCTAAACCGATTTTCACGAAACTCACCACACATCGTTCTAGACTCAATTCAGTACGCTATGCCAAATTTCGTGCAAATCGAAGGATATATAGGGACTTTGGTGCACCATTTACATAAAATCGGACGAAAATATATATGGAATCTATATCTAAATCTGAACCGATTTTTACGAAACTCAGCAAACATCATTCTAAGCTCAATTCAGTGAGCTATGCCAAATTATGTGCAAATCAAAGAATGTAAAGGGACTTTTGTGACCTATTTACATAAAATCGGACGAAAACATATATGTGAGCTATATCTAAATCAGAACCGATTTTCACGAAATTTAACACACATCACTATACACTTAATTCAGTACGCTATGCCATATTTCGTGCAAATCGAATGATATATAGGGACTTTGGTGCACCATTTACCTTAAATCGGACGAAAATATGTATGGGAGCTATATCGAAATCTGAACCGATTATCACGAAATTTAACACACATCACTATACACTTAATTCAGTACGCTATGCCATATTTCGTGCAAATCGAAAGATATATAGGGACTTTGGTGCACCATTTACCTTAAATCGGACGAAAATATGTATGGGAGCTATATCGAAATCAGAACCGATTTTCACGAAATTTAACACACATCACTATACACTTAATTCAGTACGCTATGCCAAATTTCGTGCACATCGAAGGATATATAGCGACATTGGTGCCCCATTTACTTAAAATCGGACGAAAATATATATGGGAACTATGTCTAAATCTGAACCGATTTTTCCTAATTTCAATAGGGTTCGTCCTTGGGCCGAATAAGGGATGTCCGTCAAATTTCATCCAATTCGAACCATAAATGCGACCTGTACGTTGTTTACAATTTTACATGGACTGACGGACGGACGGACATGCATAAATCGACTTAAAAAGTGATTCTATGCATATTCTCAAAAGGAACCCTGTGTCTATCTCGTTCCCTTTTGCCTGTTACAAACATATGTACAAAGACATAATACCCTGTACCACAGTGTGGTGAAGGGTATAAAAATCTGCAGTCTAGTGTAGCTTCCTAAGAATCCGACTACATCATTACTAATTGTTTTGCAGCGCCAATGACAAGTAAACACACATTAAAAACGTCATCACAAGCGTCATCGGTTCAACGTCATAATGTGGCTGGCTCACCTACAACCGAAGTTATTGCGAAGTTGCTTAGAGGTCATCTAAGCAATAACTAAAAAAAAACGGTTAGTGTTTCTTTTGATGAAACAAGTCAAGCTGCTAATTGATGTTATTCTGCCGCTCTGTCATCTAGTCTCATGCAAATTCTGCGGTTTTTTAATGGCCGGTACAGGTCGGCACACACCATTCGATCATCAGCTGTGACAACCGGATTATGAATCACTTGGCATGGGAATTTTTGATGCAGGGCATAACTGTTCGGTAAAAAGGGGTTTCTGGAGAGAGGGGGCGAGCGGTATTTTGATACACAATAAATCTTGTTTGTTTATATGCTATTTTATTGAATTCAAAATTTATTGAAATTGTTTTTGTTTGTTATGACAATCATTTTAAAGTTGTAGATCCAGATTTTTTTTCTGAGAATTCTCAAATGGTGAATGGAGGAAGGCGTTGTGAGTGACTTAGAATTAAATTTAATATTTTTGAATGAATTCTATATTTAGAAGTGATATTTTTGCGGAACACCTAATGGTATTCCAAAGCTAAAAAATTCCCACAAAAATGTGTCCAATATTCTGTCTCAAAAGATGCTTTAAAAATGCACCCCTAAAGCACTAAGTATTCGCCTCAAAAGATACTTTAAAAAACATCTTATAATCAGCCTCAACAGATGTTTTACAAATCCGCTCCCAAGACACTAACAATCCGCCTCAACAGATGTCTTAAAAATCCGCGCCCAAGACACTAACAATCCGCCTCAACAGATGTCTTAAAAATCCGCGCCTAAAACACTAATAATCCGCCTCAAAATATACTTTAAAAATCCACGCCTAAAACACTAATAATCCGCCTCAAAAGATACTTTAAAAATCCACGCCTAAAACACTAATAATCCGCCTCAAAATATGCTTTAAAAATCCACGCCTAAAACACTAATAATCCGCCTCATAAGATGCTTTAAAAATCCACGCCTAAAGCACTAATAATCTGTCTCAAAATATTCTTTAAAAATCCACGCCTAAAACACTAATAATCCGCCTCAAACGATACTTTAAAAATCGACGCCTAAAACACTAATAATCCGCCTCAAAATATGTTTTAAAAATCCACGCCTAAAACACTAATAATCTGTCTCAAAATATTCTTTAAAAATCCACGCCTAAAACACTAATAATCTGTCTCAAAATATTCTTTAAAAATCCACGCCTAAAACACTAATAATCTGTCTCAAAATATTCTTTAAAAATCCACGCCTAGAGGACTAATAATCAGTCTCAAAATATTCTTTAAAAAAAAACACGCCTAGAGGACTAATAATCTGTCTCAAAATATTCTTTAAAAATCCACGCCTAGAGGACTAATAATCTGTCTCAAAATATTCTTTAAAAATCCACGCCTAGAGGATTAATAATCTGTCTCAAAATATTCTTTAAAAATCCACGCCTAGAGGACTAATAATCTGTTTCAAAATATTATTTAAAAATCCACCCCAAGAGGACTAATAGTCTGTCCCAAAATATTCTTTAAAAATCCACGCCTAGGGCTTTAATAATTCTACTGAAATATTTTTTAAAATAACCCACACGCAGGAATTTAATAATTCTCAAAAGAATATTCTTAAAACCCCTCTAATTAATTAAAAATATATGTTTTTTTATTCATTTCATTAAATATTGTTGAAATTGTTCAATTTAGCGTTCCTTTCAATGAACTGTAGTGAATTTCATGGAAATGGTTGACGCCGTTCAGTGGAGAGACACCGTAATGTGATGAACTCTCTCTCACATAATTTCACTTTCTCTTTTGCAATTTCTATACATTTTTGGCCTTTATTCTTTACTCTCGTTCGTAAACAATGAACCTGTCTTGGCAAGTTTGTTTCCGCCTACGTTTTTATTGGCCATTCTCTCCCATCTCCGCGTATTCGTACACGTCAGTTCTTGCAAAAACAAACAGCAGGCAGCGACATGTCAGTTGTCAAATAGCAGCAGCATAGAGTTGACGTTAAATAATTGAAAAGTTGAATTTATTTAAAATACTAAATAATAATGGGATATTTAACAAATCTCGATAAAACATTCCAAAGGACCGATAATTTATAGAAATAAACCCAAAGAAAGCATAATCGTGAGTGAGAGTAGTAGTGGTGCAAAACACGACAAGACCAACATGACAAAACCAAGACGTCTGTCTGCCAGCAAGGCAGCTGGAATGGGACACAAATCAACAACAAATGTCTGTCTGGACAGACAACCCACATTCCCCATGGAAGTTAGTGACTTTGTGGTGGCAGCAGCGGCCACAGCCACGGGGCCAAGAAATTCCCTGGTCCTCCACTTGACATATCATCATCTGATTGTCTTCCTGTCAGGAGTATTGGCCGCCTGTGTCTATTATCATATGCCATGGGCGGCACAGAATCAGCAACGTCAGCTGCAGCACCTACCAGCCGAACATTATCTCCAATTACGTGACGATTTTGCCATTTATTCTCGAGAGGCAGAGGAGAGTCAACAACAGGCCATCAAGGAATTTTATGGTGAAAGTGGTGCTGCAATTGCCAATTTGCCCCCCGAAGATGACACCAATGTCAAGGAGGCCTTGGCCAATTTAAAAATAGCCCAACATATGCACAAGACGGGCAAGGAGGAAAAGGCCCAGCGACTATTTGAACATGCCTATGCCTTGGCACCCAAACATCCCGAGGTGCTACTACGCTATGGGGAGTATTTGGAACAACGTGATATTGTCCTCGCGGATCAATATTATTTTCAAGCTTTAACAATTAATCCAGGTTGTAGTGAAGCTGTGGCACATCGTCAACGTACCGCAGCCATTGTACAGACTATTGATGAAAGAAGACTAATCGAATTGGATCGTAAACGTGATGCCCTCTCGGGTATACATGAATCGAACGCAGCTCTACGCAGAGCTAAGAAAGAGGCTTACTTCCAGCATATCTATCATTCGGTGGGCATTGAGGGTAATACTATGACGCTGGCCCAGACGAGATCGATATTGGAGACACGCATGGCCGTCGATGGCAAGTCCATTGATGAACATAATGAAATTTTAGGTTTAGATTTGGCCATGAAATTCATCAATGCCAGTTTGGTGAATAAGTGAGTATTCCGAGGTTGACACCTGATACCTAGTTCTGTGGTCTCTATATAGACCAATTGGCATTTATAAGGAACTTTGGTCTTCATATAGACCAAAGGTCCTTATAGAGACCTATGTTCTCCATATAGACCAAATGTTCTTATAGAGACCTATGTTCCCATATAGACCAATTGGTCTTTATAGAGACCTATGGTCTCCTAATAGACCAATTGATCTTTATATAGACCTATGGTCTCCATATTGACAAATTGGTCTTTATAAAGACCTATTGTCTCTATATATTAATTTAATCTTTTCTTCTTTTCAGAATGGAAATCACATTAAAAGACATTTTGGAAATACATCGTCGTGTCCTTGGACACGTTGATCCCATTGAGGGTGGTGAATTTCGACGCACCCAGGTATATGTTGGTGGTCATGTTCCCCCTGGGCCGGGAGATTTATCCATTCTTATGCGTCACTTTGAAAACTGGTTAAATTCGGAACAGAGCCTATCGTTGCATCCCATTAAGTAAGTTTTTGAAAATATATTTTTATAGCAGTTTTTTAATGATTTTTATTTATTATAGGCACGCTGCCTTGGCCCATTACAAATTGGTACACATACATCCCTTTATCGATGGCAATGGCCGAACTTCCAGACTTTTAATGAATACATTGTTAATGAGGGCCGGTTACCCACCTGTGATTATACCAAAGCAACAAAGGTATGAATGATTTCAACATCTAATATTTGGATGATATATGATGTAGATCTTGACACAAAATAGGCGTAAATTTTTTAAAAATATTTTTTTGGACACCTCAACATAGGCGGATATCTACCGATTTCCGTATTTTTGCCCAAGTTTTTCAACCAAAATGTTTGTAATTTCATATTTTGGGTTCCCATTGGACACAAAATCTACGCACGAAAAATTGTCGATATTGCTCGAATTTTTAGGTTAGCCCCCATATAGTGCTCCCGCCACATTTTCCGTTTTTTTTAATTCTGGGCTCATTTTTCAGTCGAATCGGCTGTAATTTAATATTTTGGGTTCTCAAAGGGTAAAGAATCTCCCTACCAAAAATTGTCAATATTACTCCAATTTTTACGATAGGTCCCATATGAGGATACCTGCCGAATTTGCGTATTTTTGGGAGTTTGAGCATGTTTTCCTGCCCAATGAGCTTTAATTTGATATTTTTGGTTCTCATTGGGTACCAAAACTTATTGCCAAAAATTATGAATATTGGTCTACTTTAGAGGGTGGCCCCCATGTATCGGAAACTCCATAATTCGATATTTTGGGCACGTTTTTGAACCGAAGTGGATGTGATTTGTTATTTTGGGTTCTCATTGGGCAGCAATTCTTCATACCAAAATTCATAAACATTGGTCCACGTTTTGGAACACTCCATATATACTACATACTTTCGATATTTTGGGACCGGTTCTCAAACGAATGGGTTGAAATTTAATATTTCGGATTCTCATTGGGTAGCAAATATTTCTATCTAAACATCATTATTGGTCCACATTAAAGGGTAGACCCCATTTAGCGGCACATTTGATCTTCGATATTTTGAGGATTTTGGGTACGTTTATCAGCCGAATAGACTGTAAATTGGTATTTTGTGTTCTCATTGTGTAGCAAAACTTATTACCAAAAATCATGAATTTTTGTCCACGTTAGAGGGTAGACCCGGAACCTCCAATATTCGGTATTTTGGGCCTGTATTTCAATCAAATAGGATGTAAATTCGTATTTTGGGTTCTCATTGGGTAGCAAATGTTTCTGCCAAAAATCTTCGAAATTGGTCATATTTTATGCACGTTTTTTCATTAGAATTGACTGTAGTTTGATATTTTGGAATCTTGTTGGGTAACAAAACTTACTACTAAAAATTATGAATATTGGTCCACTTTAGATGTTAGCCCCCATATGTCGGATCCTTCATTATTCGATATTTTGGGCACGTGTTGGCTGAGATTTAATATTTTGGGTTCTCATTGGGTAGTGCATCTTCCTACCAAAAATTCTCAATATTAGTCCACTTTTTAGGGTAGCCCTCATACAACGATACCTCCCAAATTTCGGTATTTTGGGGAGCATGGACACGGCTTTAGCTGAGTTTTGATACCAAAAATTGTCAATATTGGTTCACTTTTCAGGGTAGGCCCCATATATCGGAACATTCATTTTTCGATATTCTGGACAAGTTTTTCAAACGATTCTGTATTTTGCGTTATCATTCGGTAGCAAACCTTACAACCAAAAATTATGAATATTGGTCCACTTTAGAGGTTAGCCCCCATATATCGGATCCTACATTTTTCGGTATTGTGGCCATGTTTTTAAACCGAATTGGTTTTGAGTTCTTATTGGGCAGCAAATGTTTCTACCAAAAATTTTAGAAATTGTTCCACTTTTTAGGGTAGGTCGCATATATCGGAATGTCCATTATTTCGTTATTTTGGGCACGTTTTTCAACCGAATTGGAATTTTGGCTTCTCATTGGGTAACAAACTTGATACCAAAAATTATGAATATTGGTCCAGTTTAGAGGGTAGCCTCCATATATCGGAACCTCCATTATTAGTTATTTTGGGCACGTTTTTAATTTGAATTGGTTGTAATTTGGTGTTTTGGGTTCTCATTGGGTAGCAAAACTTCCTACCAAAAATTGTCAATATTGGTTCACTTTTCAGGGTAGGTCCCATATATCGGAACATCCATTTTTCGATATTATGGACAAGTTATTAAATGATTTGGCTGTAATTTGATATTTTGGGCTATCATTCGGTAGCAAACCTTACTACCAACAATTTTGAATATTGGTCCACATTAGAGTTTAGCCCCCATATATCGGAACCTTCATTATTCGGTATATTGGACACGTTTTATAAACCAATTTGACTCTAAATTGATATTATGGGTTCTCATTGGGTGCCAACTGTTCCTACCAAAGTTCATCAATATCGGTCTACGTTTCGCCATAGCCCCCATATAGCGGTACTCCCAATTTTCGATATATAGGACAAGTTTTTCAGTCAAATTGCCTGTAATTTGATATTTTGAATTCTCATTGGGTAGCAAATGTTCCTGCCTAATTTCTTCGATATCGGTAGGGTAGGTCCCATATGGCACTACCCGCATTTTTCGGTATTTTGGAGAGTTTGGGTACTTTTTTCAATCGAATTGGTTGTAGTTTGACATTTCGAGTTCTCATTGAGTAACAAATGTTCCTAGCAACAATTTTCAATATCGGTCCAAGTTTTGCCATAGCCCCCATATAGTGGTATCACCCAATTTTCGGTACTTTTTCCAAGTTTTTTTAATGGAATTGACTATAATTTGTTGTTTAGGGTTCTCATTGGGTGTCAAATGTTCCTGCCAAAAATCTTCGATATCGACCCAAATTTCACCATAGCCCCCATATAGCAGTATCCCCAAATTTCGGTATATCGAGGATTTCAGACACAATTTTTAAAATTCGCGCCTCATTTTCGATATAATCTAGAACGCTGATTATAACGAAACCTCATTTACGTATTTGCAATTGATTTTATGAATTTCCGATGTCCACATCATCGTTGAGGCTATACCAAAAATTCCGAAATGAAGCTTGAATTTATTGGTAATGATCTCAAAATTCTAATCTTATTTTTTTCTTTTCAGACACAAATATTATCAATATCTTCAAATAGCCAATGATGGTGATATTCGACCCTTTGTACGCTTCATTGCCGAGTGTACAGAAAAAACCTTAGACCTGTATCTGTGGGCTACCAGTGATTTACCACAACAGATACCAATGTTGGAACAAACCGAAAATACCCTAGCCAATATTGATAAGCTGCTGACACCCTCAGCGGCGAATAATCTCGATGAGACATCACCGGCAACCACAACAACAACGACAAGTGCACCCTCCCACAACCACAATTTAGAAGAAGATTTCTTTGAATCCGGCTCGGGGGAAATTTCCTAGCAGTTGCTATTGCTAAAGCTAATCATATTCCAGATGATATTAAAACGTTTCATAAAACAAATAACTGTGATGTATTTTGTTACATTTTTTCAAACAAAAGCAACTTTGTAAATATGTATAGAGATTGAATGGAAACCAAAGCTATGTAAATGCAAAAAAAAAATTCTATGACACACACATGTCCATATACATATATGTATACATATATTTATATTAATTTGTTATGTTATTATTATTATAGTTGTTAAGTGTAAACAAATCTAAATCATTTTTGTTAGTTTCCAAAACTTTCCTAAACAACCTACAAATGAAGTGTAAAACGCACAGTTAATTTTATTTTAGATATTTACATATAAAAAAATAACAAAAAAATTATATTTATTTATTATATTACATACACACAAAAAATATTGAAAATTTTTTTTTCTAAAATTTAATTTTTTGTATCTCCCTCACAGCCTTCTGGTACTGGGACCCGCCGCCTTACATTTTGGGCTTGGGCAAATAGTCCTTATAGGTGACTTCACGCCACCACTCAGGGCGTTCAAAGACACCGGGTGTGGAGAAAATGGCACGCTGCAAATGTTTGTAGACCTACAAAGCAAAAATCGAAAAGAAATTCAAAGTAAATTGAAATAAAAAGAAAAAATTCAAATCCGAATTTAAACTTACATTGCCATCACTCATACCCAATGGCGAGTTCAAAATAAAATCTGGTGGTGAAATAGCATCGACCAGTGTAATAGCTTCATTCTTAATCACCGGCAATAAATTCAAAATAGCCTCTTGATAGAATTCCAATTGTCCGTTTTGACGGAAATAACCACCTTGATAGAATATGGCTGCATTTTTCGTCACAATATGGCAACCATACATAGAGAGCAATTTCAGTAGAACCTGTTTCTCATTACTTTCGGGTAAATTCACAACGAAATTATGGAAAACTGCATAGATCGTACGTTGAGCATAGACAATCGACAGTGTCTGGGCATTGAACACTTGCATATTGTTGCGCGTCTCAAAGGCATTCAGACCTTGAGATTTCAAGGATTCAACACGTTTGACGGTCTGATCCAATTGATAGGCCACCAACCAGTTCAGGGCCTTCAGGAGATCTAGAAGAGAGGAGATTAAAAAAAAAAAAAATTGTGAAATTTTAAAAATGAGGTCTCCAAAAAATTTAAAAATATTTTTTGAGACTTAAAAATAGGCGTGGAAATTTTAAAAATAATTTTGGAAAATTCCTGACAGGCGTGGAATTTTTAAAAATAATAGTGGAGTCTTCCTGGAATTTTTTAAAATAATTTTGTTTAAAAAATTATTTTGGAGACTTTCTGACAGGCGTAATTTTAGGAGACTTCTTGACAGATTGGCAACCTTTAAAAATAATGTTGGAGACTTCCGGTAATTTTTAAAAATCAATTTTTGAAGAATTTCTGAGTGACGTGGAATTCTTTAAAAGAATTTTGGAGACTTTCAGAGTGACGTGGAATTATTTAAAACACTTTTGGAGACTTGCTGACAGGCGTGGATCTTATAAAAATAATTTTGGAGACTTGCTGACAGGCGTGGATCTTATAAAAATAATTTTGGAGACTTCCTGACAGGCGTGGATCTTATAAAAATAATTTTGGAGACTTCCTGACAGGCTTGGATCTTATAAAAATAATTTTGGAGACTTCCTGAAATAATTTTGGAGACTTGCTGACAGGCGTGGATCTTATAAAAATAATTTTGGAGACTTCCTGAAATAATTTTGGAGATTTGCTGTAACGTGGAAAATCCACGCCATTTTGGAAACTTAAAAAATATATTAAAAAAAATCCACGCCATTTTGGAGACTTGAAAAAAAATATTTAAAAGAAAAATCCAAGCCATTTTGGAGACTTAAAAAATATATTTAAAAGAAAAGTCCAAGCCATTTTGAAGACTTGAAAAATATTTTTAAAATGATCCACGCCATTTTGGAGACTTGAAAAAATATTTTTAAAATGATCCACGCCATTTTGGAGACTTGAAAAAATATTTTAAAAAAATTCACGCCTATTGGAGACTTTTAAAAAAATCCACGCCTATTGGAGACTTTTAAAAAATCCAGGCCTATTGGAGACATTTAAAAAAATCCACGCCTATTGGAGACATGTAAAAAATCCACACCTATTAGAGACATTTAAGGTCTCCAAAAAATATTTCAAAAGTCCATCTATCTGGAGGTCCATAAAATTATTTTGCACTCCTACAATTTTTTGATAACCTCAAATTTTGAGGTCAGCTCCATATATTTTTTTCTTTCCCCCCTCATACTTACTGTGTGGACAGGCAACTTCCTTGGCATTCTTCTCCTCGGCCTTGTGTTTCAATATTTGATCCATATCCTTAAGGAATGTGACGGTATTCATGGGTGAGGCCTCAGCAAAATTGGCATTGGACCGTTTCAGACCGACCAACCAATTTGAAGCTTGCTGGATCAGGGTATTATTTTCACCCTCATATGTACAGTTGGCATCATTGTCATTACGCAAGTCACCCAAACCCGAAGCCTTCAAATAACCATGACCACCACAGGCCTCACGACATTCCTGAATACCATCACGGGCCGACCAGGTGCAGATGGGTTTACAGGCCGACGAAGCAGCATGCATTTCCATACCCACCGCTGAGGTATCTTCACCCATAAATGAACGCATTGTCATATCGACATTTTGATGACCCAACCACAGGCTGAACACGTTCAGAGCATAGGCGGTGGCCAAATGGGGGAACAGGCGGTATTGCTGGAGGGGAGGAAAAAATAGATTTAATTATTTTGTTGTTGTTGAAGTCTATTCATACCGACTTACCTGTGATTGATATTCCAAAACCGGCCACTCCTCAGAGGTCTCATCGGGACCGAACTGTTTGCGGGCCGCCGAATATCTGGTGGCAATGGTAATAGCCTTACCCAAGGCCACATTGGCCAAATTGCAAATGTTTACACGTCCCGCCGACAAGGCTCCCAAGGAGGCACCCAAACGTTTGCGGCTATCCTTAATGGGGCTGCTGTAATTGCCCTGCTCATCAATGTCACCGGTCTTAGACAAAAGGTTATCCTTAGGGATGCGATAATTGTTGAACATGAGAAAGCTATGGCGAAGAGAAGAAGGAAAATATTTTAGAAGGTGTCCTGAAGTGTAACAGAGATCCACTTACCCATTATCAATACCATTCAGGCCGATCTTTTCACCCAAATCTCCCACCGTCACCCCGGGGAAGGCCATCAGGGTTCTCTCATCACGAATGGGCACCAGGAAGGCACTCAAACCCACATATGTATCATCCGGCACATAAAGCTGAGCATACACCACAGCATGGGTACAGGTCTTACCCAAATTTCCGACCCAACATTTCGCCGCCTCGAAGTCCGGTGTGTGAATAATAAATTCCTTGGTCTTCTTATCGTAGGTGGCCCGAGTACGCATACCACGAGCATTGGTACCATGGGAAATTTCTGTCAGGGCAAATGCACCGACAATTTCACCATTTTGTATCTTGCTGGCATATGAACCCAAACGTTCGGTACCCAAGGTCAGAATGGTACTGGGGAACATACCATTCGAAAGGGAATATTTGACAGAGAAACTGAATTCATAGCTGAACATAGCCTGGGCAGCAGCCAAAGAGAGGTGGGGATTTGAGATATATTCCGCCAAGCCATAGAAGTTTTTGTTGTACAACAGATGGCAACGCTTATTGGCCAATTGACGTTGTCGCTCCAGCGAGGGGGTTTCCGGTTCTCTTTGGAAGTCTTCATGCTTTTCCATATATTGCCAAATGCGGTGCTGGAAAGGGGGGAAGAGAGAGAGAGAGGGGGAAATGAGAATCAAGAATTTTTTTAAATAAATTTTTGAAAATTAAAAAAAAAAAATATTCAAATTATATGAAAAAAAATTTTCAAATTTTTTTGGAAAAAAAATTCATATTTTTTTTTTTGAAAAATAATTTAAATTTTGTTTTAAAAAAATTAAAATTTCATTTTTTTGCAGAAAATATTTTTAATTTTTTTTTAAAAAATTTTAAAATTTTTTTATTCAAAATAAAATTTTCAAATTTTTTTTTAAAATAAAATATCCAATTTCCAAATTTTTTTTGAAAAACAAAATTTGAAAATTTTTTTGAAAAATAAAATTTCCAATTTTTTTTTTGAAAAATAAAATTTCCAATTTTTTTTGAAAAATAAAATTTCCAAATTTTTTTGAAAAATAAAATTTCCAAATTTTTTCGAAAAATAAAATTTCCAAATTTTTTCGAAAAATAAAATTTCCAAATTTTTTTGAAAAAAAAAATTTTCAAATTTTTTTGAAAATAAAATTTTCAAATTTTTTAGAAAAATAAAATTCAAATTTTTTTTGAAAAATAAAATTTCCAAATTTTTTTGAAAAATAAAATTTTCAAATTCTTTTGAAAAATAAATTTCCAAATTTTTTCGAATAATAAAATTTCAAAATTTTTTTGAAAAATAAAATTTTCAAATCTTTTTTAAAAACAAAATCTTCAAATCTTTTGAAAAATAAAATTTCCAAATTTTTTTGAAAAATAAAATTTTAAGTCTCTCTAACATATTCCGAAATTTATTAGTTTATGTGGGCCGAAATCCCGGCGGTACTGCAATACCGGGCCAACCCGCGACAGGAGTGGAGCAAGCCCCTAAACATCCCGTCTATTTCCAAAAATCAGTTTAACATTTGTTGTCCTCCGATGGAGGATCTATCAGATGTTAAGCTGATAAGAACAGATACTACACTTTGATCTTAGCCATAAGGCCGAGAAGCGATAACTTCGAACGGCCAGAAGTGAATGTTATGTGTATCGGCGCCCATGAAGTGAATGAGAATTATAGGAGGTTAGCAGCGTGAACTGCAATGGAAATACACACTGAAAACGAACACAGCAATGAGTCGTGAGAGTCCCGCCATGTGTGTTGCTAAAGCAACAGCAGATGTAAATCCGACATTCAGTCAGCCATTCAATGGTGGTGGTGTGTCGTCATCATAGCGAACAATGGATGGTTGTTTTTGTTGCATGGCCAGTGCGCAGGTACTGGCTGAGTGTGTGTGTCCGGTTGTTCTGGTGGTGCGGCATTATGATGACGATGTACATCTTCGGACTTTGGTACAACGAGTACTATTTTATTCTGGGTACTTAGAATATTTTTAGGTTCTATTAAAGGCGTGAATTTTTAAATAATATTTTCTAGGGTTTACAAGAGGCGTCGATTTTTTAGAGAATATATTTCCGATACCTACAAGACTCGTGGATATTTTTCCGAAGACTACATGAGGCGTGGATTTTTTAAAGAATATTTTTCCGAAGACTACAAGAGGCGTGGATTTTTTAAAGAATATTTTAACGAAGACTACAAGAGGCGTGGATTTTTTAAAGAATATTTTTCCGAAGACTACAAGAGGCGTGGATTTTTTAAAGAATATTTTAACGAAGACTACAAGAGGCGTGGATTTTTTAAAGAATATTTTTCCGAAAGCTGCAAGAGGCGTGGATTTTTTAAAGAATATTTTTCCGAAGTCTACAAAATCCATTCCTGCGCACTTCGATAATCATTTCAGTTTAGCCTGGCTATATGCTAAATTTATAAGGGGGGTTGTATATATTTTTTATTGGAGGTAATAGGTCGATCGTTCTGATAGCAAATGAAAACAAAGCATATGTGACAAAACGCGATTTGTTTTAATTGATTATAAAGTCCACTGAATTACGTACAAGTACTGAGAGGTACTCAGCCAGTCTGTCAGCCAGCCTGGTAACTACATCGATACATAGCTACCCTGCAGACGATAAGAAAATATTGCACCAAATTGATGCCGGAGTTATGTACGTGTACGTATCTGATGCTGCTACCACTCTAGTGGAGTTGAAAGTCCATATGCCGGCCAATTTATCTGAGACTTTTAGGAAATAGTATACCAGAGGTGATTAGGTGCGAACAGTGAAAATAATTTTGAAAATGTCCCTGGAACCCAATATAAATTATTATTATTTTTGTATCGATATATAATTTAAGCTTTTTATGGCCCATGATAATTTTCTTTTTTCAAATCATACTAGAGTTGAATCGTTGCGGAACAAACAAGTTCAAAGAAGCTATACCCCAAAAAGGAATGATTGGTACTAGGTCAGATTCTTGCGTTCATCGAACTCCTTTTGATCCAATCGTTCCGTCAATTGACCGAATAAACTGGCGAGTACCAATGAACGATAGAACTAAAAGAATGACCACTTAGATCCTTTGCGGAACAAACTGAAACATATTTAACCTCCTTCGGGAAGAAGGTTGTGTGCCTAACACTAAATCTTACTTCCATTACAGGTTAAACGAGTTAAACCTCTTAGCTTATTTCCGCAAACAAACATGCATTTATTCAGCATCTACTTTACCTATAATAATGAGTGTCTCAGCTAAAAGCCGTAGTCGGCGCATCGGCCACATCGAACTCACATTTAATTATGTCCCGAGAAAATAGAATAATTAAAAAAGGACGATGAAAAATCTTTTAAAAATTAAATTCAAAATATCTCGGATGTATAAATTGATGGGGGCCCAAACACGAAGTTAAGGCCCCACTGCAAAAAAGTATATTTTAGACTCATTAGAGTGCTCCTCTCCACGGAAATCTTTAGTAAAAGGCGAAAGATTTATTCGACAACTGAAGAGAAGCCAGAGTGATGTCTGCAGCCTCTGGCAGAAGTATTTATTAAAATATTTGAGAAGGTTAATGAGAATTGCCGCGACAGGGAAGATAAGTGACAAAACAATGGAAGCGGAATTTGAGAAGAAATTGTGAGTTAATCCGCTATTTGATTAAGAATAGGTTAACATCTTAAAGGAGGGATGATATCAATTCAGGTAGCCGAATTCATTCAATTTATTGAATGTGGTGCTCGTGTGTGAGGGAATTCGTTTACATCAGGGATGGAAAAATCATCATTCAGGCCTCTAAGAGACCCTAAAAATATTCTTTCAAAAATCTAGGCCCCTTAGAGACCCTAAAAAGATTCTTTAAAATAATGCCCGCCATTGTGAGACTTAAAAAAATAAAGGCCTCTTAGAGTCCATCAAAAATATTCTTTTAAAAATATTAGCCTCTTAGAGATCCAAAAAATATTCTTTTAAAAATCTTAGAAATCCTAGAAAATATTCTTTAAACAATTTAGGCCTCTTAAAAATACACGTCTCTTGTAGAGCCTAGAATTTATTCTTTAAAAAATTTAGGCCACTTAAAAATCCACGCCTCTTGTACAGCCTAGAATTTATTCTTGAAAAAAGTAGGCCTCTTAAAAATCCACGCCTCTTGTAAAGCCTAGAAAATATTCTTTAAAAAATTAGGCCTCTTAAAAATCGACGCCTCTTGTAGAGCCTAGAAAATATTCGTTAAAAAAAAATAGGCCTCTTAAAAATCCACGCCTCTTGTAGAGCCTAGAAAATATTCTTTAAAAAATTTAGGACTCTTAAAAATCTACGCCTTTTGTAGAGCCTAGAAAATATTCTTTAAAAAATTAAGGCCTCTTAAAAATCGACGCCTCTTGTAGAGCCTAGAAAATATTCTTTAAAAAAAATAGGCCTCTTAAAAATCCACGACTCTCTTATAGGGCCTAGGAAATAATCTTTCTAAAATTTTGGCCTCTTAAAACTCCACGCCTTATTGTAGTCCCTAAAAAATATTCTATATAAAATCCACGCCTTATTGTAGTCCCTAAAAAATATTCTATATAAAATCCACGCCTTATTGTAGTCCCTAAAAAATATTCTATATAAAATCCACGCCTTATTGTAGTCCCTAAAAATATTCTATATAAAATCCACGCCTTATTGTAGTCCCTAAAAAATATTCTATATAAAATCCACGCCTTATTGTAGTCCCTAAAAAATATTCTATATAAAATCCACGCCTTATTGTAGTCCCTAAAAAATATTCTATATAAAATCCACGCCTTATTGTAGTCCCTAAAAAATATTCTATATAAAATCCACGCCTTATTGTAGTCCCTAAAAAATATTCTATATAAAATCCACGCCTTATTGTAGACCATAAAAACATTTTTTAAAAAATCCACGCCCTATTGTAGACCGTAAAAATATTCTTTAAAAAATCCACGCCTTATTGTAGAGCCTAAAAAATATTCTTTAAAAATCTACGCCTCTTGTAATGCCTAGAAAATATTCTTTAAAAAATCCACGCCTTATTGTAGACCCTAAAAAATATCCTTTAAAAAATCCACGCCTTATTGTAGACCCTAAAAAATAGTCTATAAAAAATCCACGCCTTATTGTAGACCCTAAAAAATAGTCTATAAAAAATCCAGGCCTTATTGTAGATCCTAAAAAATATTCTTTAAAAAATCCACGCTTCTTGTAGAGCCTAAAATATTTTTTTCTTTTAAAATCCCCTCCTCATACAGTCTCATCACTGTTATAACCTAAAAAAGTTCTTCATTAGATTTTTTCCAACCTTGATGTGAGCTAACCCTCCTCACAACACACAGTTTTGAATGCAAACGACTCGAACAATTTAATGAAGCGAGTGTGTGTCTGCCCAACCGCTTCGGCTACCTGAATGCATATCATCCCTTATTGAACCCCTTTCCGTTTTCTTATGACTTCAGCAAAGTGCGGATTAACACTCTATTTCTTCTTGTATTCCACATTCATTGTCTTGGCACTTATCTTCCCTATCGAGACAATTCTCATTAACCTTCGCAAAGAGTTTTATAAATACTTCGATGTGAGGATGCAAACGTCACTCTGGCTTCTCTTCAGTTGTCGAATAAATCTTTCGCCTTTTACTAAAGATTTCCGTGGAGAGGAGCACTCTAATGAGTCTAAAATAGAATTTTTTCGCAGTGGGGCCTTAACTTTGTGTTTGGGCCCCCATCAAATTATATATCGAGATTTTTCTGAATTATTGGTTTGTTAAGTTTTTCATCGTCCTTTTTTAATTATTCTATTTTTTGGGGCATTTAGCTGAGACACTCATTGTTAAGGGTAAAGTAAACGCTGAATATAAATGCATGTTTAGTTGCGGAAATAAGTTAGAGAACTGTTCGGGTTTCAATCTGTAATAGAATTAAATTTTTGACTCAAATTTTAGAGTCAGGCAACCTTGTTCCTCAAGCGGTAAAATTTTGACTCATGTTTTAGAGTCAGGCAACCTTGTTCCTGAAGCGCTTTCATATGTATCAGCTTGCTCGGCGAAATGACCCAAGTTATTCTTTTAGTTCCATCGTCCATTGATACATGCTAGTTTATTCGGTGAATTATCGGGACGATGGGATCAAAAGGAGTTAGATGAACGAAAGAATCATACCTAGTACCAATCATTCCTTTTTGGGGTATAGTTTCGTTCAACTTGTTCGCTCCGCAACGACTCAACTCTAGTATGATTTGAAAAAAGAAAATGGTCATAGGCCATAAATGAGGCCAATTTGTATATCGAAATAAAAATAATAATTTATATTGGGCAGAGCATTTTCAAAATTATTATTTTCACCTGTTCGTCTCTAATCACCTCTGGGGTCTACTATTTCCTAAAAGTCTCAGATAAATTGTCTGGCATATGGACTTTCAACTCCCCTGGAGTAGAAGCAGCAGCAGTTACGTGCACGTACTTAACTTCGGTATTAATTTGTTGCAATATTTTCTTATCATCTGCAGGGCAGCTATGTATGTAGTTACCCGGCAGTCTGGCTGACGGACTGAGTACATCTCAGTACTTGTACGTAATTCACTGGACTTTGCAATCAATTAAAACAAATCGCGTTTTGTCACATATGCTTTGTTTTCATTTGCTATCAGAACCAACGACCTATTACCTCCAATAAAAAATATATACAGCACCCGTTATAAATTTAGCACATAGCCAGGCTAATCTGAAATGATTACACATCGAAGTTCGCAGGTATGGATTTTGAAAATATAATGTCTTAAAAAAAGAAACAAATGACTAAATGACTGATAAGCAATAATCGACAGGCCCCGATTCAAATCTCTGATATTGGTAGAAAATAAATTTCTTTAAAAAATCCTGGTCTCTTGGAGACCTAAAAAAAATATTCCTTGACGTATTTGCATTTAAAGTTATAAACCCAATAAAAAATATAATGTCTTCGTTAAAATATTCTTTAAAAAATCCACGCCTCTTGTAGTCTTCGTTAAAATATTCTTTAAAAAATCCACGCCTCTTGTAGTCTTCATTAAAATATTCTTTAAAAAATCCACGCCTCTTGTAGTCTTCGTTAAAATATTCTTTAAAAAATCCACGCCTCTTGTAGTCTTCGTTAAAATATTCTTTAAAAAATCCACGCCTCTTGTAGTCTTCGTTAAAATATTCTTTAAAAAATCCACGCCTCTTGTAGTCTTCGTTAAAATATTCTTTAAAAAATCCACGCCTCTTGTAGTCTTCGTTAAAATATTCTTTAAAAAATCCACGCCTCTTGTAGTCTTCGTTAAAATATTCTTATCCACGCCTTTCTTTAAAAAATCCACGCCTCTTGTAGTCTTCGTTAAAATATTCTTTAAAAAATCCACGCCTCTTGTAGTCTTCGTTAAAATATTCTTTAAAAAATCCACGCCTCTTGTAGTCTTCGTTAAAATATTCTTTAAAAAATCCACGCCTCTTGTAGTCTTCGTTAAAATATTCTTTAAAAAATCCACGCCTCTTGTAGTCTTCGTTAAAATATTCTTTAAAAAATCCACGCCTCTTGTAGAGCCTAGAAAAAATATTCTTTAAAAAATCCACGCCTCTTGTAGAGCCTAGAAAAAATATTCTTTAAAAAATCCACGCCTCTTGTAGAGCCTAGAAAAAATATTCTTTAAAAAATCCACGCCTCTTGTAGAGCCTAGAAAAAATATTCTTTAAAAAATCCACGCCTCTTGTAGAGCCTAGAAAAAAATTTTTTTTAAAAAAATCCACGCCTCTTGTAGTCTTCGTCAAAATATTCTTTAAAAAACCACGCCGCTTGTAGAGCCTAGAAAAAAAATCGGAAAAATATTCCATATTTTCTACCCTTCTCACACCTCCCCTCGTATCTGCTAACTAACCTCTAACCAATTCAATTGATTAGAATATTCATATTAAGAAATAAGTATGAAAACATGTAAAGGCGAATCGAATTGAACTCATATACAATGGTTTTGAAATATGCAAAACATATCTAATCTAAACACTATAGTCAAGTACATGCCACACACCATAGGCCCAAATCGAAGCTATACAGAACAAAAATAAATAAATAAAGGCCAACAATCGCACATGATGGTGTGCGTAATATATCAACAGCACCACAGGCCACCACTATATTTGGACTTTGGCCATATGCAATGAATCGTTCGGAAATTTAGAAAAAAAAAATAAAAATATTTTCAGACTCACCTTTAGCCGAATATGATCTTCACCCTCCAGCAGAACATTCATACGTTTGTGACAGAACGAACTCTTTTCACGATACGCCGTCAATGGTCCAGATTTGAAATCGGGAAAGATCTTCTTATCATTTAGAATATTTGTGGGTTCAACCTGCTGCTGTGCCACCTGGGAGCCATCACTGGAAAAGGCATTTTGTAACCAAATTGTTAGTAATTTATTTTTTGAAATGTCCATGATGATATTTTTTTTAATTCAATTTTTTGGATTTTGAAATTTTTTTTTTTTTCGATTGCACAACAATTTTTTTTCGTAAAACTCTGGATATATGTAACTTAAGCTAAGTTCGGAACAGTTGCGAAGCTTTGATTAGTAATGAATGAAAAACTCACAAGCAATGAACTTTGAAGGGGGCTATCAGCTGTTCGGTGATTTTATAAAAAAAAATACACAATAAACAACAACAGACTGGTTTCGGAACAAAGTACCGGAATAAAGTCGACTGCAGCATTTGCTACATTTTAAAATATTTTTTGGAGACTTCAATAGAGGCGAGGATTTTTATACCCTACATAACTATGTTGTCAGGGTATTAAGGCTTTGTGCAGTCCCAAGAGTTTGTAACGCCGCGACATATTGGTCCTTGACCCACCTTTAAGTATACCGATCGTCATATCTCGACTAGCTGAGTTCATCTAGGCATGTGTATCCGTCCGTACATTATAATTTGTTCAGATTTACATATGGCTCCCATATATATTTTCGTCCGATTTTACATAAATGGTGCACCAAAGACCCTATATATTCTTCGATTTGCAAGAAATTTGGCACATCGTAATGAATTAGGTCTAGAATGATGTGTGCTAAGTTTCATAAAAATCGGTTCAGATTTAGATATAGCTCCCATATATATTTTCGACCGATATAAGGTAAATGGTGCACCGAAGTCTCTAAATATATTTCGATTTGCACGAAATTTGGCACAGCATACTGAATTGAGTCCAGAATGATGTGTGCTAAGTTTCCTGAAAATCGGTTCAGATTTAGATATAGGTCCCACATATATTTTCCTCCGATATAAGGTAAATGGTGCACCAAAGTCCCTATATATATCTTTCGATTTGCACGAAATTTGGCACAGCGTACTGAATTGAGCCTAGAATGATGTGTGCTAAGTTTCCTGAAAATCGGGTCAAATTTAGATATAGCTCCCACAAAATTTTCCTCCGATTTAGGGTAAATGGTGCACCGAAGTCTCTAAATATATTTCGATTTGTACGAAATTTGGCACAGCGCACTGAATTAAGCCTGGAGTTATGTGTGCTAAGTTTCGTTAAAATCGGTTCAGATTTAGATATAGCTCTCATATATATTTTCGTCCGATATAAGGTAAATGGTGCACCGAAGTTCCTAAATATCTTTCGATTTAGACGAAATTTGGCACAGCGTACTGAATTGAGTCTAGAATGATGTGTGCTAAGTTTCGTAAAAATCGGTTCAGATTTAGATATAGCTCTCATATATATTTTCGTCCGATATAAGGTAAAAGGTGCACCGAAGTTCCTAAATATCTTTCGATTTACACGAAATTTGGCACAGCGTACTGAATTGAGTCTAGAATGATGTGTGTTAAGTTTCATGAAAATCGGTTCAGATTTAGATATAGCCCATGTATATATTTTCCTCCGATTTAAGGCAAATGGTGCACCGAGGTTCCTAAATATCTTTCGATTTGCACGAAATTTGGCACAGCGTACTGAATTGAGTCTAGAATGAGGTGTGCTAAGTTTCGTGAGAATCGGTTCAGATTTAGATATAGCTCCCATATATATTATCGTCCGATTTTATGTAAATGGTGCACCAAAGTCCCTATATATCCTTCGATTTGCACGAAATTTGGCATAGAGTGCTGAATTAAGCCTAGAAAGATGTGTGCTAAGTTTCCTAAAAATCGGGTCAAATTTAAATATAGCTCCCATATATATTTTCTTCCGATATAAGGTAAATGGTGCACCAAAGCCCCTATATATCTTTCGATCGCACGAAATGTGGCACAGCATGCTGAATTGAGTCTAGAATAATGTGTATTAAGTTTCCTGAAAATCGGTTCAGATTTAGATATAGCTACCATATATATTTTCGTCCGATATAAGGTAAATGGTGCACCGAAGTCCCTAAGTATCTTTCGACTTGCACGAAATTTGGCACAGCATACGGAATTGAGCCTAGAATAATGTGTGTTAAGTTTCGTGAAAATCGGTTCAGATTTAGATATAGCTACCATATATATTCTCGTCCGATTTAAGGTAAATGGAGCACCAAAGTCCCTATATATCTTTCGAATTGCACGAAATTTGGCACAGCATACTGAATTGAGCCTAGAATGATGTGTGCTAAGTTTCCTGAAAATCGGGTCAAATTTAGATATAGCTCCCACAAAATTTTCCTCCGATTTAGGGTAAATGGTGCACCGAAGTCTCTAAATATATTTCGATTTGTACGAAATTTGGCACAGCGTACTGAGTTGAGTCTAGAATGATGTGTGCTAAGTTTCGTAAAAATCGGATTAGATTTAGATATAGCTCCGATATATATTTTCGTCCGATTTAAGGTAAATGGTGCACCGAAGTCCCTAAATATCTTTCAATTTGCACGAAATTTGGCACAGCGTACTGAATTGAGTCTAGAATGATGTGTGTTAAGTTTCGTGAAAATCGGTTCAGATTTAGATATAGCCCATGTATATATTTTCCTCCGATTTAAGGCAAATGGTGCACCGAAGTTCCTAAATATCTTTCGATTTGCACGAAATTTGGCACAGCGTACTGAATTGAGTGTAGAATGAGGTGTGCTAAGTTTCGTGAGAATCGGTTCAGATTTAGATATAGCTCCCACATATATTTTTTCCGATTTAAGGTAAATGGTGCTCCGAAGTCCCAAATATCTTACGATTTGCACGAAATTCGGCACATCGCACTTAATTGAGACTAGAATGATGTTTGCTAAGTTTGCGAAAAATCGATTCAGATTGTCCGATTTAATGAAAATTGTGAACCAAAATGAAAATGAACTTTAAAAAATCCACGCCTTGGTTAAGACCTCCAAAAATGAACTTTAAAAAATCCAAGCCTTGGTTAAGACCTCCATACGATATTTTTCACAAAATTGAACTTTGATCCCATTGTGCTGCAGTTACAAACAATTTGACCAATTGATTATAACCTCAATTCCATTGTAGAATCATTTGAATGAATGAAAGGCAAAGAGAGAAAGAGAGCCACCTGAGACCCTCACTCACTGTACGAACCAATTAAAATATAAACATCTCGGTTTTTTTTTCATAAAAACATATGTTTGTCCGTATGTGTGTATGTCTGGTTCCATACTTACATGCCAATTTCAGCAATTTGCGCCATAATTCCGATACTGCTTCTATTTCACTTTTCACCAAAACGAAAAATTCACCGACCACTTCGACGGTTTAATAGTAACTGTCCAAAAAAATTTAACTATGTTCCGACTTGGAGGTTTGGTCTCGAATATTAAATTTTGCAAATCAGATAATAAAACACGAAACGAGTAGAGGTTTCTTTAAAATCTTATCTTCAATAATCTGGCGATAGAAGTAACTCCCTTTAATCGCTAACCGAGATAATAAAATCGAACACTTCGATTTTGGATTTTTTTGTTTTGATTACCACGACGACTGGACAAACGAAACTTAAATGCCATACGACGATTACAACAACAAGATGTTTTCCGACATAAACAACAACTATCTACTATCCGCTACTACCCGCTCTGAACGGTTGATTTCTAATGCCGCCGTTTCCAACTGGTGTTGGGCCACAACTGATTCGGTTAGGCCATAATTTCTTGAGCGTTCAAAGAAATTTTTTTTAAATTTTTTATTCATATTGCCATTGACCCTTTTTGTGTGGAGCTTCTTCGTCGTACTCTCCCAACTACAACTACTGCTAATTTTTTTATTTATTTCAACTTTTGTTTTGTTACGTTCATTCGTCGTTGTTTTGTTCATGAGAGTGAGATACAGATACTCTCGTAGTTGACAGATACTCTTGTGGGTAACAGGGATGGGAAATGTGAATTAATTATTTTATGGGGGGGGGGGGGCACAAAAAATTGGGAAATTTTTAAAATTAATTTTTCGCCACCTTAACCATGGCGTGAATTTTTTTAAAAGGTTAGTAGAGGTACTATGGAGCTCAGTAGAGGTCCGTATAGCATATTAGGTGGTCAGTAGAGGTTTAAACAGGTTACTATGAGCTCGATGTGAGGTTGAAAGAGGTCCGAACTGTTATTAGCAGTTTCGTTATGATTCGTATAGATTATGTAGAGGTTCATAGAGGTCCTAAAAATGTATCATGAGGTAAGTAGAGTTACCATGGAGCTCAGTAGAGGTCCGTAAAGCATATTAGGTGGTCAGTAGAGTTTCAAACAGGTTACTATGAGCTCGATATGAGGTTGAAAGTGGTCCGAACTGTTATTAGCAGTTTCGTTATGATTCATATAGGTTATGTAGAGGTTCATAGAGGTCCTAATAATGTATCATTAAGTTAGTAGAGGTACCATGGAGCTCAGTAGAGGTTCGAGGAACATATGAGCTGGTCAATAGAGGTCCAAACAGGTTAATGTGAGCTCGATATGAGGTTGAAAGAGGTCCGAACTGTTATTAGCAGTCTCGTTATGATTCATATAACTTATGTAGAGGTTCAAAAAGGTCCTAATAAAGTAGCATGAGCTTACTAGAGGTACCATGGAGCTCAGTAGAGGTCCGAGCAACATATGAGCTGGTCAGTAGAGGTCCAAACAGGTTACTATGAGCTCAATATGAGGTTGAAAGAGGTCCAAAAATGTTATAAGCAGTTTCGTTATGATTCGTATAGCTTATGTAGAGGTTCATAGAGGTCCTAATAAAGTATCATGAAGTTAGTAGAGGTACCATGGAGCTCAGTAGAGGTCCGAGCAACATATGAGCTGGTCAGTAGAGGTCCAAACAGGTTACTATGAGCTCATTATGAGGTTGAAAAATTTCCGAACATGTTATAAGCAGCTTCGTTAAGATTCGTATAACTTATGTAGAGGTTCAAAGAGGTCCGAATAATATATCATGAACTTTGAGGTCCGAATAGCATATGAGATGGTTAGTAGAGCTCCAAAAAAGCCTACTATTCGCACATTATGTGGTTGAAAGAGGTCAGAACTGTTATAAGCAGTTTCGTTATGATTCATATAATAAAGTATCATGAGCTTAGTAGAGGTACCATGGAGTTCAGTAGAGGTCCGAGCAACATATGAGCTGGTCAGTAGAGTTTCAAACAGGTTACTATGAGCTCGATATGAAGTTTAAAGAGGTCCGAACTGTTATAAGCAGTTTCGTTATGATTCATATAACTTATGTAGAGGTTCAAAGAGGTCCTAATAAAGTATCATGAGCTTAGTAGAAGTTCCATGAAGTAGAAGTTCCATGTAGAGGTTCATAGAGGTCCTAATAATGTATCATGAAGTTAGTAGAGGTACCATGGAGCTTAGTACAGGTCCGAGCAACATATGAACTGGTCAGTAGAGTTCCAAAAAGGTTACTGTGAGCTCGATATGAGGTTGAAAGAGGTCCGAACTGTTATTAGCAGTTTCGTTATGATTCGTATAGATTATGTAGAGGTTCATAGAGGTCCTAATAATGTATCATGAAGTTAGTAGAGGTACCATGGAGCTCAGTATAGGTCCGAGCAACATATGAGCTGGTCAGTAGGGGGCCCAACAATTTACTATGAGCTCATTATGAGGTTAAAAATTTCCGAACATGTTATAACCAGCTTCGTTAAGATTCGTATAACTTATGTAGAGGTTCAAAGAGGTCCGAATAATATATCATGAACTTAGAGGTCCGAATAGCATATGAGATGGTTAGTAGAGCTCCAAAAAAGCCTACTATTCGCACATTATGTGGTTGAAAGAGGTCAGAACTGTTATAAACACTTTCGTTATGATTCATATAATAAAGTATCATGAGCTTAGTAGAGGTACCATGGAGCTCAGTAGAGGTCCGAGCAGCATATGAGCTGGTCAGTAGAGTTTCAAACAGGTTACTATGAGCTCGATATGAGGTTTAAAGAGGTCCGAACTGTTATAAGCAGTTTCGTTATGATTCGTATAACTTATGTAGAGGTTCAAAGAGGTCCTAATAAAGTATCATGAGCTTAGTAGAAGTTCCATGAAGCTCAGTAGATGTCCGAATAGCATATGAGATGGTTAGTAGAGCTCCAAAAAAACCTACTATTCGCTCCTTATGAGGTTGAAAAATTTCCCAACATTTTAAAGCAGCTTCGTTAAGATTCATATAACTTATGTAGAGGTTCATAGATGTCCTAATAATGTATCATTAAGTTAGTAGAGGTACCATGGAGCTCAGTAGAGGTCCGAGCAACATATGAGCTGGTCAGTAGAGGTCTAAACATGTTAATATGAGCTCATTATGTGGTTAAAAATTTTCCGAACATGTTATAAGCAGCTGCGTTAAGATTCGTATAACTTATCTAGAGGTTCATAGAGGTCCTAATAATGTATCATGAGGTAAATAGAGGTATCAAGCTCAGTAGAGGTCAAACATATTGTTAATAGCATATGATGTGTTATAAGTAACAGATAGAGTATCATAGAGCTCAAGAGGTCCTAATAATGTATCATGAGAAGTTCCTCCTTATGATGTGTTGAAAAGAGGTTACTATGAACTCCTTATGAGGTTAAAAGAGTTCCAATCATATTATAAGCAGCTTCGTTAAGATTAGTAAAACTTATGTAGAGGTTCAAAGAGGTCCTAATAATGTATCATGGGGTAAGTAGAGGTATCATGGAGCTCTGTAGATGTCCGAATAGCATATGGGGTGGTCAGAAGAGGTCCAAACATATTGTTATGAGCTCCTTATGAGGTTGAAAGAGGTCCGAACTGTTATAAGAAGCTTCGTTAGGATTCGTATAGCTCATAGTGGTCCTAATAAAGTATCAAGGGCTTAGTAGAAGTTCCATGAAGCTCAGTAGAGATAAGAATAGCATATGATGTGATCAGTAGAGGTCCAAAGAGGTTACTATGAACTCCTTATAAGGTTAAAAGAGGTCAAAACATATAAGCATCTTCGTTAAGATTCGTATAATTTATTCAGAGGTTCATAGAGGTCCTAATAATGTCCGAATAGCATATGAGGTGGCCAGAAGAGGTCCAAACATATTGTTATGACCTCTTTATGAGGTTGAAAGAGGTCCGAACTGTTATTAGCAACTTCGTTAGGATTCGTATAGCTCATAGTGGTCCTAATAAAGTATCATGAGCTTAGTAGAAGTTCCAAGAAGCTGAGTAGAGGTCCGAATAACATATGAGTTGGTCAGTAGAGATCCAAAAGGCCTACTATTCCCTCCTTATGTGGTGGAAAGAGGTCGGAACTGTTATAAGCCATTTCGTTATGATTCGTATAACTTATTTTAGGGTTCATAGAGGTATCCAATAATTTATCATGAGGTTAGGTACCCAATAATATACCTTATGCGGTTGAAAAATGTCTGAACATGTTATAAGCAGCTTCGGTTTTAACCAAGGTGTGGATATTTTAAAATCCTGAAGCCTTCTAAAAAATTTAAATAAAAACCCACGCCTATGTTCAGACCTCTAAACAATAATTCAGTAAACACAATAACAACAATAATTAGTAGCTGCAGAATAGGGGTATTGATTTGAATATTTTTTCAATTCGAATGAATTCGATTAACCTCATATCGAACCAACAATAAACAGTTACGGTTAACCGACAAAGGTGGTCGGAGCTAATTACGGTTTTAATTTTTCTGATACAATAAGAGGCGAGCATTTTTTTAAAAGAATATTTTTCGAGGACCTACTGAAGGTTGAAATTAAAAAATATTTTTTTTCGGTCCAAATGGAGGTAAGAACTTGTATGCCCTAATCGGAATATGGAAGTTGATCACATTCTTCAACGGAATTGGTTGTAATTTTGTATTTTGGGTTCTCATGGGGTAGTTAATCATCCCACCAAAAATGATTATTATTGGTCCACTTTTAAGGGTAGATCCCATATAGGGGTACCTCTAAAATTTTGGTATATTGAGGATTTTCGGCATGTTTTTTCCACAGAATTGACTGCAGTTTGGTAGTTTGAATTCTTATTGGGTGACAAATCTTCCTACTAAAAAATAGCAATATTGGTCCACATTTATGGGTAGTTCCCATTAAATGGTTCCTCCCAAATTTCGGTAATTTTAGGAGTTTGGGTAAATTTTTCCAGCGACCTGGCTGCAATTTGATATTATGGGTTCTCATAGGATAGAGAACCTCCCTACCAAAAAATATCACAATCGGTCCACGTTCTGGTATAGCCCCCATTTAAGGTTACCTTCCGATTTTCGTTATTTTGGAGATTATCAGGACGTTTTTCAATCGATTTGTCTTCAATTTGGTATTTTTGGTTCTCATTGGGTTACAAATTTTCCTACCAAAAATTAGCAAAATCGGTCCACTTTCAAGGGTAGCTCCCATTAAAGGGTACCTCCCAAAATTCGGTATTTTGAACATTTTGGGTACATTTTGGTAGCGAATTGGCTGCACTTTGGCATTATGGGTTCTCATTGGATAGAGAACCTCCATACCAAAAATTATCATTATCGATCTACGTTTTGGTATAGCCCGCATTTAAGGTTACCTTCCGATTTTCGCTATTTTACAGATTTCCAGCAAGTTTTCAACCGATTTGACTGCAATTTGGAATTTTGAATTCTCATTGGGTGACAAATCTTCCTACCAAAAATGATCTATATTGGTCCAGTTTTTATGGTAGTTCCCATATAAGGGTTCCTACAAAATTTCGATATATTGAGGATTTTTGGTACAATTTTCAAGCGAAATGGCTGTAATTTGATATAAGGGGTTCTCATAGGATATAGAACCTTCCTACTAAAAATGATCAATATCGGTCCATATTTTGGTATAGTCCCCATATAACGTTACCTCCCGATTTTCGATATTTTGAATGATTTTCGCCTAACTTTCCCACCGAAGTGTCTATAATTTGGCATTATGGGTTCTTAGAGGTTGAGAAATTTGTGGGCGGAACAATTTCGTTATAGGTAAAACAAAAGCGAACTCTAATTTTCCCCTTTCCTTTCAGCAGCCCCACAATATTGTACCCACCGTATTGCTGCATGGTGGTGCTGGCGATGTAACCGATAATGAGATGAGCTGTAGAAAAGATGGCATAAAACAGGCTGCCCGGTTGGGTTATGCAACGCTGATGAAGACCCAAAGTGTGGTTGATGCCGTCCAGCAAGCTGTCGAGGCTATGGAAAGTGATCCACAATTTAATTGTGGCCGTGGCAGTGTTCTGACCTCTGAGGGTACCATCGAAATGGATGCAGGAATTATGGACGGTGCTACGCTGAATGCTGGCTGTGTATCGACAATACGGGATATCCTACATCCCATTGCATTGGCCCGTAGTGTCATGGAGAATACACCTCACACCTATATGGCGGGTGAAGGGGCTATGGTGTATGCCCGAAAAGCGGGGTTTCAAATATTACCCCCTGGTTCATTGGTAACGAAAAAGGCGAAAATATCTTTCACAGAATTCAAGGATAGTTGTAATAATGATAACCCAATGGGCCCCAGTTGGCGGTATGAGAAACCCAAGTTGGGTAGGAAGTCATATTACGCTTCACCCGGCACTGTGGGTGCCGTGGCCATTGATTCGTATGGTAATGTGGCCGCTGCCACCTCAACAGGTGGTCTGACCGGCAAAATGTCTGGCCGTATTGGAGATTCGCCGATATTGGGCGCGGGTACCTATGCCGATAACATGGCCGGTTGTATATCGGCAACGGGTTCGGGTGAAATTATTATGCGTTACAATGTGGCATCGCGGATTTTAGGTTTAATAAAATATTGTAATATGAGGGTCCAAGATGCCACCAAAAAGATTTTGGATGAAATGCTGGAACGCTTTCAAGTAACCGCAGGACTTATTGCCATACATCGCCGGGGTAATTTGGGTATTTATTTTACCACCGATCGTATGGCATGGGCCTATCAACGTGGTGGGGAGCTGCATTGTGGTGTCGATCAGGGTGAAGATAGTGTGGAAGAAATTGTTGCGGATTGAGATGGTGGAATTAAAAAAAAATAAATATTTTTATAATTTTGGAGATTTCAAAATAATATTCGGATTTTTTAAATATATGTTTGGACCCATATCGAAATTGATCGACAAAAATGTTTCTTAACCTCCAATAACTCATAATGCCAAATTACTGCCACTTCAGGCGGGAAATGCGTCTAAAAACCTTAAAAAAATCGAAAATCGGAAAGAACCTTATATGGGAACTATATCAAAACATGGACCGATATTCATTATTTTTGGTAGGAAGGTTCTCTACCCAATGAGAACCCAGAATACTAAATTACAGACAACTCGGTTGAAAAATATACCCAAACTCACAAAAATTCCGAAAATCGGAAGGTAACGTTATATGGGAGCCAGCCTTAAAAGTAAAGCAATATTGATCATTTTTGGTAGGGAGGTTCTCTATCCAATGAGAACCCCTAATATCAAATTGCAGCTAATTCGCTTGAAAAATGCACCAAAAATCCTCAATACACTGAAATTTCGGAGGTATCCTTATGTGGGAGCTATCCTAAAAAGTGGACCAATATTAATAATTTTTGGTGGGAAGATTTGTCACCCAATGAGAACCCAAAATACCAAATAACAGACAATTCGATTGAAAAAAGAGCCCAAATTCGTCAAAATATCGAATTTTGGGAGGTACCCTTACATGGGAGCTATCCTAAAATCTGGATCAATTCTGATATTTTTTGGTGGGAAGATTCGATACGCCATGAGAACCTATAATTTACAATTTCAGCCAATTCGGTTGAGAAACATTCCCAAGCACCCCAAAATCGGGAGGTACCCTCATATGGGGCCTACCCTAATAAGTAAACCAATCTTAATTGGTTTTGGTGGGAAGATTTGTCACCCAATGAGAACCCATAATTCACAATTTCAGCCAATTCGGTTGAGAAACGTGCCCAAGCTCCGCTAAATACCGAAAATCGGGAGGTACCCTTATATGGGGCCTACGCTAAAAAGTAAACAAATCTTGATAATTTTTGGTAGGAAGATTTGTCACCCAATGAGAATCCAAAATACGGAATTGCAGTCAATTCGCTTGAAAAATGTACCCAAAATACTCAATATATCGAAATTTTGGAGGTACCCTTATATGGGAGCTATCCTAAAAATTGAACCAATATTAATAATATTTGGTGGGAAGATTTGTCACCCAATGAGAACCCATAATTCACAATTTCAGCCAATTCGGTTGAGAAACGTGCCCAAGCTCCGCTAAATACCGAAAATCGGGAGGTACCCTTATATGGGGCCTACGCTAAAAAGTAAACAAATCTTGATAATTTTTGGTAGGAAGATTTGTCACCCAATGAGAATCCAAAATACGGAATTGCAGTCAATTCGCTTGAAAAATGTACCCAAAATACTCAATATATCGAAATTTTGGAGGTACCCTTATATGGGAGCTATCCTAAAAATTGAACCAATATTAATAATATTTGGTGGGAAGATTTGTCACCCAATGAGAACCCATAATTCACAATTTCAGCCAATTCGGTTGAGAAACGTGCCCAAGCTCCGCTAAATACCGAAAATCGGGAGGTACCCTTATATGGGGCCTACGCTAAAAAGTAAACAAATCTTGATAATTTTTGGTAGGAAGATTTGTCACCCAATGAGAACCCAAACTACCAAATTGCAGTCAATTTCCTAGAAAAATGTACTCAAAATACCGAAATTTGGGAGGTACCCTTATATGGAACCTATCTTAAAAAGTGGACCTATATTAATAATTTTTGATAGGGCGATTTTTAACCTAATGACAACCCAAAATACCAAATTACAGACAATTCGATTGAAAAAAGAGCACAAACTTGGCAAAATATCGAAATTCGGGAGGAAACCTTAAATAGGGGCTATGCCAGAACGTGGTCCGATAGTGATAATTTTTGGTAGGTACGTTCTCTATGCAATGAGAATCCATAATACCCAAAATACCAATTTAGAGAAGAACCCAAAATACCAATTATCAAACAATTCGGTTGAAAAAAAGATCACAAACTTCTCAAAATACCGAAATTTATTAGGTACTCCTATATGGGGCCTACCCCAAAACTATGAACCAATAACGCTAATTTCTGGGGGGTGGGGGCATTTTGTAGCCGAATGAGAACCCAAAATACCAATTTACAACCAATTTGATTGAAAAACGTGCCCAAGCTCCCCAAAAATTACAACCAATTCGGTTGAAGAATGAGATCAACAACTTCGAAATTCCGATTAGGTATACAAATTGGCTATGACCTCCAAAAAATATGTTTAAAAAATCCACGCCTTGGCTATGACCTCCAAAAAATATGTTTAAAAAATCCACGCCTTGGCTATGACCTCCAAAAAATATGTTTAAAAAAATCCACGCCTTGGCTATGACCTCCAAAAAATATGTTTAAAAAATCCACGCCTTGGCTATGACCTCCAAAAAATATGTTTAAAAAATCCACGCCTTGGCTATGACCTCCAAAAAATATGTTTAAAAAATCCACGCCTTGGCTATGACCTCCAAAAAATATGTTTAAAAAATCCACGCCTTGGCTATGACCTCCAAAAAATATGTTTAAAAAATCCACGCCTTGGCTATGACCTCCAAAAAATATGTTTAAAAAATCCACGCCTTGGCTATGACCTCCAAAAAATATGTTTAAAAAATCCACGCCTAGGCCATGACCTCCAAAAAATATGTTTAAAAAATCCACGCCATGGCTATGACCTCCAAAAAATATGTTTAAAAAATCCACGTCTAGGCCATGACCTCCAAAAAATATGTTTAAAAAATCCACGCCATGGCTATGACCTCCAAAAAATATGTTTAAAAAATCCACGCCTTGGCTATGACCTCCAAAAACTAGGTTTAAAAAATCCACGCCTTGGCTATGACCTCCAAAAAATATGTTTAAAAAATCCACGCCTTGGCTATGACCTCCAAAAAATATGTTTAAAAAATCCACGCCTTGGCTATGACCTCCAAAAACTAGGTTTAAAAAATCCACGCTCTGGCTATGACCTCCAAAAACTAGGTTTAAAAAATCCACGCCTTGGCTATGACCTCCAAAAAATATGTTTAAAAAATCCACTCCCACTTTTATTAAATAAAATAATTTTTTTTTGTATATTTTATTTATATATTTTTTATTCTTATACACTTAAATAACATGAAACATTTAATTAAAAATTTTCGTAAACAGGTAGGGTTTTCTTCTTGTGGTTCTTGTTCTTCTTCCTAAAAGGGAGGAGGGTTCAAACTCCTCATTTCGCTACAGTATCGTAATTTGTATGTGTAATTGGTATGGAAATACGTAGCTATGTGTTTTTTATATAAGTTTATTTTAAAGATGATATATTATAGATGAAATTATATAAGTTCGAAATTTTAAATATCATGTTGGATCATGCATTAGGATTCTTTTTATAAAAAACGACATATTTATAGATTTTCAACTAATTGTAGTATTTGATTTTTTTTTTTTTTTTTTTTGAAACTAGTTGTGAAATTTTTAGCAACGTTTTAACAGAAAAAAATTAATTTTGTATATTTTTTGTATCATATATTTTATACAATTTTATATTATTTCGATTATTTTTTAACTACTATTGCATTCCGTTGATTTAATTTTTTTCATCGTTCAATATAAAAAGCTTTAAAAAAATTATAAAATTTGCAAGCGAAAAAATAGTATCTTAATTTATATATTATAAGTATTTTTTTATATTATAATTTATTATATATTATAATTATTTATATATTATATATATGTGGGCGTTATTCGATTTTGTATATTTTTTAAAAGCGTTTGATTTTTTTTTATTTTTTTCATAATTTATTTATAAATGACCTTAAAACTATAATCCTTTATGGTGTCTTTAAAATGGCTATCATGTTTTTGTCTACAACCTTATAAATATATTTATATATATATTGTTGAAATACTATGTATATATGTAAATGAAACACAAAAAATAATTATAAAATCAAAATTAAAATTATTTCCAAAAATTAATTTAAAAAAAATCCACGCCTTGGTTAAGACCTCCAAAAATTAATTTTAAAAAATCCACGCCTTGGTTAAGACCTCCAAAAATTAATTTTACAAAATCCACGCCTTGGTTAAGGTGTCCAAAAATTAATTTTAAAAAATCCACGCCTTGGTTAAGGTGTCCAAAAATTAATTTTACAAAATCCACGCCTTGGTTAAGACCTCCAAAAATTACTTTAAAAAAATCCACGCCTTGGTTAAGACCTCCAAAAATTAATTTAAAAAAAATCCACGCCTTGGTTAAGACCTCCAAAAATTAATTTAAAAAAAATCCACGCCTTGGTTAAGACCTCCAAAAATTAATTTAAAAAAAATCCACGCCTTGGTTAAGACCTCCAAAAATTAATTTAAAAAAAATCCACGCCTTGGTTAAGACCTCCAAAAATTAATTTTAAAAAATCCACGCCTTGGTTAAGACTTCCAAAAATTAATTTTAAAAAATCCACGCCTTGGTTAAGACCTCCAAATATTAATTTAAAAAAAATCCATGCCTTGGTTAAGACCTCCAAAAATTAATTTAAAAAATCCACGCCTTGGTTAAGACCTCCAAAAATTAATTTTAAAAAATCCACGCCTTGGTTAAGACCTCCAAAAATTAATTTTAAAAAATCCACGCCTTGGTTAAGACCTCCAAATATTAATTTAAAAAAAATCCATGCCTTGGTTAAGACCTCCAAAAATTAATTTAAAAAATCCACGCCTTGGTTAAGACCTCCAAAAATTAATTTTAAAAAATCCACGCCTTGGTTAAGACCTCCAAAAATTAATTTAAAAAAATCCACGCCTTGATTAAGACCTCCAAAAATTAATTTAAAAAAATCCACGCCTTGGTTAAGACCTCCAAAAATTAATTTTAAAAAATCGACGTCTTGTGCAGAACCCCCAAAAATTAATTTTAAAAAATCCACGCCTTGTGTAGAACCCCCAAAAATTAATTTTAAAAAATCTACACCTTGGTTATGACCTCCAAAAAATATTTTTAAAAAATCCACGCCTTGGTTACGACTTCCAAACATGGCTACGGCTTCCAAATACTATTTTTAAAAATTCCACGCCTTGTGTAGAACCTCCAACCATCCTTAAAACGGACCCGGAACACCAATTTACAGCCACTTCGATTGAAAAATTATAGTTATGACCCTCAAGTACCTAATTGTAGACGGCTCACCTATATGGGAGCTACGTGAAAACATGAACCTATATCAACAATTATCTGCAAACATATTTCATAACCTCCAAGAACTCGGAATGTCAAAGTATTTCCATTTCGTTGGAAAAACGCCGTTAAAACCTTCAAAATACCGATAATCCGTCGGTAATGTTATATGGGAGCTGTACCAAAACGTTGACCGATAGCGATAAAATTTGGTAGGGAAGTTCTCTATTCAATGAGAACCCAAAATATCAAATCTCAGCAAATTTTGTTGAAAAATGTGTCCAAGCTCCCCAAAATATCGAATAATTGGAGGTACACTTATATGGGAGCTATACCAAAAAGTGGACAGATTTTGATTATTTTTGGTGTGGAGATTTGCTACCCAACGAGAACCCAGCATACCGAATTACAGCCCATTCAGTTGAAATATTTGGACAAATTCTCCAAAATATCGAAATTCGGAGGTACGTTTATATGGGACAAATTCCAAAAAGTGTTCCGATATTAACAATTTTTGGTGGGATGATTTACTACATGATGAGAACCCAAAATATAAAATTAGAGTTGATTTGGTTAAAAATTATGTCCAAGCTCGCCAAAAAAAATGAAATTTAGGAGGTATCATTATATATACGAGCTATACCAAAACGTGGACCGATATTAATAATTTTTGGTAGGAAGATTTGTTACTCAATGAGAACGCATTATACCAAATTACAGCCAATTTGCTTGAAAAACGTGCTAAAAATTTTTCAAATATCGAAATTTAAGGGGTACCCTTATATGGGGACTACCCTAAAAAGTCGACCGATATTAATAATTTTTGTTAGGAAGATTTGTTACCCAGACGGCATAGAGATCGTAATGTTTGCGATGATTGTATGATCATGGCGTCGGGTTCCATTATTGATGATATATGTGAGAGCCGATCTTGTTAATTTCTTCAATCTGAGGAATATGAAAATATCCGTCACAAAAAACAACAGCCCCACTGAACATAATGGCCGATGGAGAACTGATTCTAATCACCAACTACCCCAAGATACTGAGAGTAACGTTCGACAGCCTTTTCAAGTCGTCTGCGCAAGCCACTGCTTTATGCGATAAGCTGAGAAGAAGGAACAAGGTCCTCAAGTCGCTAGCCGGCAGCACTTGGGGCGCTGACAAAAAAACCTTCTTGACCTCTTATAAAGCAATAGGCCGGTAAGTGGGGCATGTGGGGCCAGTGTGGTTCGCGAATGTTATTGATACGCGGTGGAAAAATATCCAGACCTGCCAGAATGCTACCTTTACAACTGCAACAGGGTGTCTCCATATGACACCTGTGGACCCTCTTCATGGGTAGACGAAGCGTAAACCCCTAGATCATGAAGCCTATCAAGCATGTCTGAATGGTATTCACACGGACGCAGTCGCTCAGGCAGTAGAGCAATATCGCGTGAATACCATAATTGGAGACAATCCCCATCCATCGCAGCAGAGAGAAGCCAGTGCCAAGCCAAACACGAGTAGTTTTAGCTCAACTAAGATTAGGATGGTGCAACCGCCTCAATTTATATTGACGGTACCTAACACATCTCCTGCATGTGAACGACATCTATCGCCGAATTCACTTTGGACGCAACTTGTGGATTTTTAAAGTTGGAGATAGAGGAAGCAGAACCAGTCAATGAATGACACTCTACATGTATTCTGTTGCATAACAACAACAACAACAACCTTCAGGCTGGTTGAATACTTTAAGGTAATTTCTTCAGGATTTTTAGAAGGCGTGGATTTTTAAAATAATTTTTCCAAGGCCTACATAAGGCGCGGAATTTTAAAATAATTTTTTCCAAGGCCTACATAAGGCGCGGATTTTTAAAATAATTTTTTCCAAGGCCTACATAAGGCGCGGATTTTTAAAATAATATTTTTTTGTCGGGGCTCTACATAAGACGTGCAATTTTTAAATAATTTTTTTTTTCGGGGTCTATAGAAGATTTTTAAAATAATAATTGAAATGTACTGATTTTTTCTAGAAGTAATGAATATATTTTTAGATATTTTTTAGGAATTATGTGAACAATTGCGATACTAAAACTGTAAAATAACTTAAAAATAAAATAATAATAGTAGGGAAAATATGGAATCTCTAAAAGTAAAATATATTTCTAATAAAAAATAAAATTGTTCTAAAATTTATAAATAACAATTATGTATTTTATTATAATACATATGAAATATAATATATTATATAAATAATATATAATTATATATAAATTCAAATATGGTTATAATGAAGTTCATGGTCTGGACATTTTTTTAAATTTAATTTATTTTCAATTGTTATCAGACCCCATAGAGAGATTCATTATAACCTCATTCTATTGTTAATTGTTTTTTGAATATATTTTTTCAATAACATATTTTTGTTTTTCATTTTCAATATTTCATAAAAATTAACTTAAAAATTATTTTCAACATTGTATATAATATTTAAAAAAAAAACTTTTTTTGTTGTTTGTGTTTTTTTCTCGCATAAAATTATTTCGTTAAAATTTCTGATTTCATTCTAATCCAGACTTTTTTCCATTAAAGTCCCCGTGGTGAGATGTTGTGGAGCGTCTTCTTCTTCTTTTTCATCGTTTCCATTGTCCCCATTTTGGGCATTTTTAGGGTTAGCCTCATATCATCGACTTTGACATGAACTGGATGCTGAATTTGACGAGAAAGCCGATTGTAAACTTGTCATAGAGCCCTTGTAATTGGCCGAACTTAACACCTCGTAAAAGTAATTGAGCTGGGTAGGACCCTCGCTGCTACACGAGGGGCTAAACCAATGCATCACATAATTGTCCTTGTGATTCATGACATGGGAACCCTGGAAGAGAAAAAGAAGAAACAATGGGATTAGAAATGGCATTAAAAAATTCGTAGGCCTTATGTAGACCCCGAAAAAAATAATTTAAAAACTCCGTAACCCTTATGTAGACCCCGAAAAAAATAATTTAAAAACTCCGTAACCCTTATGTAGACCCCGAAAAAAATAAACGCCTTGTATAAGACGACCCCGAAAAAAAAAATCTTTAAAAAATCCACGCCTTGTATAAGACGACCCCGAAAAAAAATTCTTTAAAAAATCCACGCCTTGTATAAGACCTCGAAAAAAATTTAATTAAAAAATCCACACCTTGTATAAGACGACCCCGAAAAAAATTTAATTAAAAAATCCACGCCTTGTATAAGACGACCCCGAAAAAAAAATCTTTAAAAAATCCACGCCTTGTATAAGACGACCCCGAAAAAAAAATCTTTAAAAAATCCACGCCTTGTATAAGACCCCGAAAACCACGAAAAAAATTATTTAAAAAATCCACGCCTTGTATAAGACCCCGAAAACCACGAAAAAAATTATTTAAAAAATCCACGCCTTGTATAAGACCCCGAAAACCACGAAAAAAATTATTTAAAAAATCCACGCCTTGTATAAGACCCCGAAATGTAGGCCTTGAAAATTTAAAAAATCCACGCCTTGTATAAGACCCCGAAAACCACGAAAAAAATTATTTAAAAAATCCACGCCTTGTATAAGACCCCGAAAACCACGAAAAAAATTATTTAAAAAATCCACGCCTTGTATAAGACCCCCAAAAACCACGAAAAAAATTATTTAAAAAAATCCACGCCTTGTATAAGACCGCGAAAACCACGAAAAAAATTATTTAAAAAATCCACGCCTTGTATAAGACCCCGAAAACCACGAAAAAAATTATTTAAAAAATCCACGCCTTGTATAAGACCCCGAAAACCACGAAAAAAAATTATTTAAAAAATCCACGCCTTGTATAAGACCGAAAACCACGAAAAAAAATTATTTTAAAAATCCACGCCTTGCATAAGATCCCGAAAACCACGAAAAAAATTATTTAAAAAATCCACGCCTTGTATAAGATCCCGAAAACCACGAAAAAAATTATTTAAAAAATCCACGCTTTTATAAGATCCCGAAAACCACGAAAAAAATTTTTTTTTAAAATCCACGCCTTGTATAAGACCCCGAAAACCACGAAAAAAATTATTTAAAAAATCCACGACTTGTATAAGACCCCGAAAACCACGAAAAAAAATTGTTTAAAAAATCCACGCCTTGTATAAGACCCCGAAAACTACGAAAAAAATTGTTTAAAAAATCCACGCCTTGTATAAGACCTCGAAAACCACGAAAAAATGTATTTAAAAAATCCACACCTTGTATAAGACCCCGAAAAAAATATATAAAAATTCTCCTTTTCTCACCTGCACACTCTCCTTGTTGTGACACACCAGAGTGGGTTCCTCCTTGAAATAGTTAACACCCTCGGTAAAATCACTCATATCGAAAAAGGAGACTGCCAAATCTGCAACAAAATGTATTTAAAAAAATCATATAAAAAATGATTTATCCCGCCCCCTTACCATGTTTCTCCGGCAAATCCTTGGTTACCCGGAACAGTGTAAAATGCAAATCACTGCGCAGTACATCGAAATCCCATGTCAAAACACTTTTTGGATCTGAGTTGCGTATTATGACCTCATGCGAGTAACCGGTACGCAGCTCCACAGTCTTATAGACATTATGATGATGATTCTGTTGGGCCAAGCCGCCTGCACCACTACCAGCGGCAGCAGCTAACGTTTTGGAGTCATTGTGATGAGGACTATCCAGCAGGGCATCATCAGCCTCCTCAAGTGAATTCATTTTGTAGAGATTTTTCGGCACTAAACTACCTTCATGGATGAGGGTCTGTTTGGGAGGAGGAGAAGAAAAAAATGAAAGGAAAAATTATTAGTTAGGAATATTGAGAAGAGAAAAGGAGGTGGCTGGTGGCAGTTGGATTAGCTTATTCTAACAACAGACAATATGACGACGAACATGAAAGGTTTTGATATTCCTTGAGACGATCTAGAAGACAATTTATGAACTTTTACACAAACACTAATCGATATCGATACACATTAATTGACAAAGTGGAGACATGGAAGATTTTGATACACGGGTTCATTGGCAGGACAATACGATATGTGAATGTGTTTTGAATTATTAAAAAAATGTTAGCCCCTTACACAATCGCAACTAGCTAAATAGCAATGATTAAAATAGTAAGGAGTTATTTGATCCACATACGATAATGCAGCCACTGATGGCTTTGGGTTTTTTCCAATTTCAAGGAGAAGGAGGGAAAAAAATTCGAATATTAATGTATTACACAACAAATATTTAAAAAATATTTACAGGTTATAAATCAAACTAATAATTTATCAGCTTACCTTACAAGGACCACCCAAGAAATCGGGTACAATTTCAGCATCGATATATTGCTCCAGACTTTCCTTGGTGTGTTCATCATCACTAATGCCATAGAATAAGAATTTTGAGCGGGTGTTTTCGTCTGGAAGAAAAGGAAAGGGTATTAAAATATTTCATTTACAATCGGATTTAAAAAAAAAAAAATTTTTTGGAGGCCTTAACAAAGCGGGGATTTTTTTCAAATTAATTTTTGGAGGTCTCAAATGATGGAAAGAAATATCCCATAGAGTTGTCGTCTTTTGTCCAGAGAAGTTAAAACACCAGGAGTTTATCTTAAGTAGAAATTCAGGCTTCAGTACTGCTCAATGCAGTCTTTTTTTGCTTCTTTGATTCCCACGATATTACGGATCCACCAAGATAAATCACAAATCCCACGGCGGCTGGTTCTATGTACCGGATTGACGCGGAGATGGACTCCGACAAGAAACTGCCACCTCAACAACGTGTACGTCATTATTGTCTTGGAGCGGCATTTTATCCCAGAATGACTGCTCCGAACCCTACTGGTCCGTGCCGGGATTGAAATAAACCCAATACCTTGGTTCTGCAGTGTGTGCAGAAACCGCATCCACCATAGATCAATCTCGGTGAGATGCAATGAATGTGGAGAATGGGTGCATTTTCGAGGTTGCTCTGGACTGAACAGGATCCAGGAGTACTGCGAAAGAAGTTCATGCTCCACTAGCACGTCCCCCAGTGTGTCTCAGCAGTCGTCGTCCGATTCATCACCTGAATCGTCATCGTCGGAGTACGAGACACCCCCGCAGTCTCCTCAACAGCAAAATGCGCAGCAGTTAACACCACATATTGCTGTTCCGCGCCTAGAAAATGCATCGTTTTTGCAGTTCAACTGCGATGGTCTTCGCAACAAAATCAGCGAAATTGTAGAATTTATGAGTCGAAGGAGAATAATGGTCGGTGCGATCCAGGAAACCAAGCTAACCGAGAACTGTAGCTTGCAGCGTTGCGTTGGTTACAACGTTGTGCGGAAGGACCGTACCAGAAGCGGAGGTGGGGGACTTGCATTCTTATTACACCATTCTGTCCAGTACAGACTTGTACGTGACCTGGCAACTCGTCATTCTTCCCTTCCGATCATCGTCTCCGTCAACAGACCACCAGACTTAATAACCTCTGAAAGCAGCACTTTCCTGAACAATTGGAAAGCTGATTGGCATGGCTTCAGAGAGTTTACCAATCACCGCTTCAGAGAGAGGACGTTGCAGATGTCATTAATAACGCTAAGTCATCCAAAGCGTTGGGCCCGGACGGAATTTCCATGGTAATGCTTAAGCAGCTGGATGAACTCGGAGTTGAGTACTGGATGAACCCGGAGTTGAGTACGGACGCAGGCGCTCAGGCAGTAGAGCAATATCGCGTGAATACCATAATTGGAGACCACCCCCATCCATCGCAGCAGAGGAGAAGCAGCTGCAAAGGCAAACAAGAGTAGTCTTAGCTCAAATAAGATCAGGATGGTGCAACCGCCTCAATTCATATTGGACAAGAATTGACGGCTCGATATCTAAGACATGTCCAGCATGTGGATTAGGACCACACGACACGTTGCACCTCTTCAACTGCCCAGCTAAGCCGACTCATCTATCGCCGAAATTACTTTGGATGCAAACTGTTGAAGTTGCAGCATTCTTGAATTTGGAGGTAGAGGAAGCAGAACCAGACGATTAATGACAAACTACATATATTCTGTTTCAGATCCATAGCACAGCCTCCCCAATCTGCATCTGCATATCCTAAAAGCTTTCCATTACCAGTTCCAAATTTCAATTTAACATCTTACCTTTCTTCCAAATATCTTAAAATCTGTTTTGACGCTTTCAAATGCTCTACATGAGGATCTGCATTCCTTTAAGATAACTTGGAAACGGAATGATGTATATCTGGACGCGATGTTATTGCAAGATATATAAGCGATCCCATTAGCGAGGGGTAGAGTTTTTCTTTAACCCTTTCTCAGACCATAGTAGCATCGGTTGGCCATCACTATCCTTCTCCGAATTTCAAAACTTATGTCATTCGTTTTGTTTATGGCGGTACTAAGGTATATAAAATCTTTGACTACCTCGAAGCTGTAGTTCTCAAGTTCCACAGTTAGTCCGATTCTACTGGACGTCTTGCGCGTTGATACCATCATCTGGCCTTCTCGCCGTTTACTGCCAGACCCCCACTTTGGCAGACTCCTTCTGAATTTGTTCAAAGGTGTCAGTTACCGCTCTCAATGTTCGACCCATTATGTCGATGCCATCGGCGTAGGCTAGTAACATGTGTTGTTTGCTGTACAGAATGCCATTTCTGTTCACTTTTGCCTCTCGTAAGACCTTTTCCAGCAGGATGTTAAAAAGGTCACACGACAAGCTATCACCTTGTCTGAATCCTCGTTCGGTATTAAAGGGCTCCGAGAGGTCCTTTCCGACTTCAACTGCTGATCTTGTGCCTGTTAAAGTTATCCTGCATAGCCGAATTAATTTTGCAGGAATGCCAAACGCAGACATGTCTTTATACACCTCTGAACGGATAGGGCTGTCGAATGCGGCTTTATAGTCGACGAATAGGTGGAATGTGTCGATGTGTTTTTCGTTGGTATTTTTTTTTCAGGATTTGGCGCAGAGTGAAAATCTGGTCTATGGTGGATTTGCCAGGTCTGAAGCCGCATTGGTATGGTTCAAAAATGTCATTGACCATTGTGTTCAATTATTCACACCACAGCACGCAGGACACTTTATATGCGAAGGGAAGGAGACTTATTCCTCTATAGTTGGTACATATCGTCTTGTCTCCTTTTTTGTGCACAGGACACAGGATGCTGAGGTTCCAATCATTGGGCATGCATTCTTCTAGCCAAATTGTAGTAATCAGCTGGTGCATGCTCCTTACCAGCATCTGGCCACCAGTCTTCGGTTTGTAACCCATCGGCACCTGCTGCTTTATTATATTCCTCAGCCGATTGATTGCTATTCTGACTTCATCTTGGCTAGGTGGTATACACTTTATACCGTCATCTATTATTGGTTCACCACGGGGAGGTCAGTGTCCACAATTGAGATGAAAGAGGTACCAAGATAGGCCTGGACTTTGCTATGTTAAGGTCAATCAGAGCCGTTGATCGTATCTATCATCCCTCATCATTTTCTTTTCTGTACTTCGGCTTTTTATTACTGTCTCCTCTTGTTTTGCTTGCCATCGCCCCGAACGCCTGTTGTCCTGCTGTAGATTCATCACTTTTAACTTGATTTCTTCGCTCGTACTCCTCCAAAAGTTTTACCTTTAAAGCGGACAAATCGGGTAACTTGTCTCTTTTTTCAATTGCGACGACGACGAAGTTTTCGAAGTATTCTTTTCCCAAACTTGAAAGCAGTATAATAACTAGCAGCTCCTCTTGAATTTCGATTCCAACGTCAATCAGCTTCTCAGTTATTTCGGTGAAATCGTACAAGTAATCGGTCATGCTCTTATATTCCGAAAAATGCAGGTTGGCCAGCTTTTTGTACAGAGTCACCTTCTGTAAGGGTCTTTTGGGCTTATAAACATCTCTCAATTTTTCCCACGCTTCTTTGGAGGTCTTACATTTTTTACGTAATTTAGTTGAGACGTCTTAAGACTCAACGTAATGTTTGCCAAAGCCTTCTCGTCATCAGACTCCCATTCTAAAATCGTTTTCAGCTGTCCAGATTGGATTCTTGTCACATTGACCATTTGCGTATTTCCAACACCCGGTATGGATCAGATCTTTTAAAAATATTTTTTTATTTCTTACCTATAAATGCCGACACAATGGTCCAGGCAATCGGGAATACTCTTGGGGCCCTTACCACCAAAACCCGACCCATTGTTTCGGGATAATTGCGCTCAACATTTTCGATGATATTCAGCAAGGCCTTGACACCGGGACGCCACAGATGACGCATAGACAAACCCTCCAAGTCCACAAGGAGGCACCAATCCAAGACGGGTTTACCAAGATTTTCTGCTGATTCCAAGATCTTTTTAATGCCCTCCTCGCAAATGTGTAAGGCCTAGGAGGAAATAAAAAAGCGAGGTTAGTTGAGGAATAGAAAATAAATTCAGTTTTCCTTACCAATTTCAGGAAACCCTCCGTGCCAATGGATTTCAATAGCCCCTTTACATCCATGTGGCCCAAGCGTAAAATATAAATCGGCCTGCCGTCCTTATCATGATGATGCCAACCCCCAGGGAAATGATCTGACACGACTGTGGGTGTTTTATATTCCGTTAGCAGGCTATCGATGTCCTGCTCCTTGCGCCACTTAAGGGAATCCTTAAGCATGGTCAAGGCCTGGCTAACATGCCAATCCCGGGCTCGGAGAAATCTCAAAATTGTCTGATAATCTGGCATTTTTTCCACATCCTCTTGGCTGTCTAAAAGTTTGCGCAGCTCCAATAACTTCGATTCCTGCATGGGTGTCAACTGGCCCAAATGTTTGGCAATAAAGTCACCATCCAAGAGAATGTCATGCGTTGAGGGTCGTTTCTCACCACCATTCACTTCGTACACCGTATCCGATTCTTCACTATCATCTCCGACCACATGCAAGTTTGGTGATATTTCCGCATCGGCGGGCGGTTGCCAACGTGGCACTTCCGTTATACCCTCCTCTTTCAATTCATTGATAAAATATTCAATAATCTCTTTACCCTTCAGGGTGGTCTGGGTATACTGTTTCATACCCATCTTCTCCATGGAATGTTCGAAACCGAAGAAATTTTTAATATCCAATGTTGCTGTCTGATCAAAACATGTCCAATCGGGATTGTCGGGATGGGCATAGTAACGGCAACGTTCGAAGATTTCGATGCGTGAGGAAAAACTTTCATTCACTGCTTCAATGTTGAGGGTCCGATTGGCTAAATCGAGGTAATTGTGTTGTATAAAATAGACATGTTCGACACCGATTAGTTTCTTAAAAATGTAGGGAGCATCGACGGCTAGTTTGCAGCGACGACTGGTTTTACGTTGGGCGCCATTTTCCAATATCTCGTCTTTGGTAATTTCACAGTCCAGCACAATGGGCATTTGTGGACATTTGGGAAAACGTTTTTCATAGGCCTGGAAAGGGAAGAGGAACGAAGAGAATTAATTAAAAGAAAATGAAAGAAAAAGAGAATGCAATAAATAATGAAATAAAAGAAGAGAAAATGAAAGCCTTAACAAAAGAGAGAATGCAATAAATCCACACAATGATTTTTTAAAAATAATCCACACAAGAAGACCACACAAGGCGTGGATTTATTAAAAATATTTTTTTTCAGGGTCCACACAAGCCGTGGAATTTGAAAAAATAATTTTTCAGGGTCCACACAAGGCATGGATTTTTTAAAATTTTTCTTCAGGGTCCATACAAAGCATGGATTTTTTAAAATTTTTCTTCAGGGTCCACACAAGGCGTGGATTTTTATAAAAAATATTTTTTTCGGGGTCCACACAAGGCGTGGATTTTTTAAAAATAGTTTTTTCAGGGTCCACACAAGGCGTGGATTTTTTAAAAATATTTTTTTCAGGGTCCACACAAGGCGTGGATTTTTTAAAAATATTTTTTCAGGGTCCACACAAGGCGTGGATTTTTTAAAAATATTTTTTCAGGGTCCACACAAGGCGTGGATTTTTTAAAAATATTTTTTTCAGGGTCCACACAGGACGTGGATTTTTTAAAAATATTTTTTTCAGGGTCCACACAGGGCGTGGATTTTTTAAAAATATTTTTTTCAGGGTCCACACCTTGAAACTACGTCTTTTTTATACATCAATGTCAAAGAATTATAAATATTTTCCTCCGTAATTTTCAAATTAATATCCACACTTGTCCATTTCCGAATTGAAATTGAAAGTATTTACCCTGAGCATCCACACCCTTCTCAAAAAATTACCTCTCCCTCTGAATTATGCAAACAAACATACATATCAATCAAATTAGTAGATTGCTATTAATTTCGTTGTTGTTCGGAATAAATTTCATTTGAATTGTGTAAACATTTTCCGCACACTCAGACACACTCCGACATATTTATCTTCATCAAATTCGGTAGCTAATGTGTAAATAAACACAATTTAAATTTTGTTCTCGTGGTTAATTTATAAAAACAAAGTCATTAAATTTGGAGGAAACAAACACAAACACACAACAGAAGAGTCAATGTAGAATGCGGAATATTTAAATTGTAAAAACAATGGACTTGGCCTTCCCCTTCTACGTGAACCATCAGCTGGTTCGCTTTTATATGCCTGGGCATTCTCATTCATTCGCACAACTTGACCTAGCCAACGTAATCGCTTCAATGCGTCTATAGATAGTACAAGCCATTGTTCATTCGACGCCGATGTTCACCGTCAACGCAGATCGGCCCCATTGATCTTTCAGAGAATTTTTCTCTCAAACACTCCAAGAACTGCCTCATCTGCTTGCGTAAGTACCCATGCTTCAGATCCATATAACAGCTCGGGTAGTATCAGCGTCTTGTAGAGTTTGAGTTTGGACTGGCGGGAGGTGGCCTTGTTTCTAAACTGCTTACTTAGATCATAGTAGCATATGTTGGCCATCACAATCCTTCTCCGAATTTCAAAACTGATGTCATTCGTTTTGCTTATGGCGGTACCAAGGTATATAAAATCTTCAACTACCTCGAAGCTGTAGTTCTGAAGTTCCACCGTTGGTCCCAGTCTTCTGGACGTCTTGCGCGTTGATACCATCAGTATGGTCTTCTAGTCGTTTACTGCCAGACCCACTTCTTCGGCAGACTCCTTCTCGATTTGTTCAAAGGTGACTGTTACCGCTCGCAATGTTCGACCCATTATATCGATGTCATCGGCGTAGGCGAGTAACATGTGTTGTTTGATGTACCGAGTGTCATTTCTATTCACCTTTGCCTCTCGTATGACCTTTTCCAGCAGGAACCTTTTCAAGGACATTTTCCAGCAGGAAGATCACACGACAAACTGTCACCTTGTCTGAATCCTCGTTCGGTATTGAAAAGCTCCGATAGGTCCTCTCTGCTGACCTTGTGCCACTTAAGGTTATCCTGCATAGCCGTATTCATTTTGCAGGAATGCCGAACGTAGACATGGCTTTAAACACCTCTGAACGAATAGGGCTGTCGAATGCGGCTTTATAGTCGACGAATAGGTGGTATGTGTCGATGTGTTTTTCGTGGGCCTTTTCCAGGTATGGAAGGCTCCGATAGGTCCTTTCCAACTTTAACTGCTGACCTTGTGCCACTTTAAGTTCTCCTGCATAGCCGAATTAATTTTGCAGGAATGCCGAACGTAGACATGGCTTTAAACACCTCTGAACGAATAGGGCTGTCGAAAGCGACTTTATAGATAGACAAACTGTCACCATGTCTGAATCCTCGTTTGGACTGAAGAGCTCCGATATGTCCTTTCCGACTTTAACTGCTGACCTTGTGCCACTTAAAGTTATCCTGTATAGCCGTATTCATTTTGCAGGAATACCAAACCTAGACATGGCTTTAAACACATCTGAACGAATAGGGCTGTCGAATGCGGCTTAATAGTCGACGAATAGGTGGTATGTGTCGATGTGTTTTTCGTGGGTCTTTTCCAGGATTTGGCGCAGAGTGAAATCTGGTCAATGGTGGATTTGCCAGATCTGAAGCCGCATTGGTATGGTCCAATAATGTCATTGACCATTGGCTTCAATCGTTCACACCACAGCACACTGGATAGCACTTTATATGCGATGGGAAGGAGACTAATTCCTCTATAGTTGGCCGCATATAGTCTTGTCTCCTTTTTTGTGCACGGGACACAGGATGCTGAGGTTCCAATCATTGGGCATGCATTCCTCTAGCCAAATTGTACTAATCTGCCGGTGAATGCTGCTGACAAGCATCTGACTACCAGTCTTGAATAGTTCGGCTGTAACCTATTGGCACCTGCTGCTTTATTGTTCTTGAGCCGATTAATTGTTTTTATGACCACCACAGGTGGTATACACTCTATACCGTCATCTATTATTGGTTCTAGGGTATCCTCTTCACCGCCACTATTTGATACCAGAAGCTTTTCAAAATGCTCCTTCCAGATTCTCAGCACGCTGTATGTATCTGTCACCGGGGTTCCTTCTTCATATCTACAGGAGGATGTGCCTGCACCAAAGCCTTCGGTTTGCTGTTTTACTCGTTGGTAAAATTTCGGGACTTCATTCTGACTCCTGTACATCTCGATTTGCTCACGCTCACGTTTTTCTTGTTCTTTCTTCTAAAAATACGTTTATCCTCTCCCCTTTTCTCCCGATTGTTCTCCATCGCATTACGTGTTGCGCTACTCTCTGCAGGTTTGCCCTATACGCTGCGTTTTTCACATCAGTAGCATTACGACACTGCTGATCGTATCATGGATTTTTTAATGGTGGTTTTTGGTACCCAAGTGTTGCTTTTGCTGCAGTTTGAAGGGAGTGGGCAATTCTTTGTCATTATCGGGACATGAAGTACTTTCGTCAAGCAGTTGGGTAAGTTGAGCGGAGTATGCCTCGGCTACCTGTTGTGTTTGCAGCTTTTTGACGTCGAGTTTCCGTGTTGTGCTAGATCGCACCTTTGCTGCTACATTGAGACGGGTGCGTACCTTGGCTGCCACAAGGTAGAGGTCCGACTCGATATTCGCTCTTCGGATCGATCGAACGTCTAATACACTTGATGAATGCCTTCTGTCAATCACAACATGATCGATTTGATTTCTCGTTGCTTGATCGGAAGAAATACAGGTGGCCTTGTGTATATCGAAATCCTTGAATCTGGTGCTGCTAACTACCATGTTTTTTGCTGCCGCGAAGTCAATCAACCTCATGCCGTTGTCTGATGTTCCTTCGTGGAGGTTGAATTTTCCGATGGCGACGGCCAAAGATATTTTCCCTTCCGATTTTTGCATTAAAATCTCCTAGCAGACTTTTAATGTCATGGTCATTTCCGACGGCGACGGCCAAAGATATTTTCCCTTCCAATTTTTTTAAATCTCCAAGTAGAATTTCAATGTAATGTCCAGGGCAGCGATCATATGCTGTTTCTAGGCGCTAGTAAAAATGGCTTTGGTCTTTTCATCTTTGCCTTCCGTCGGAGCATTGGCGCAAATGAGACTTATGTAGAATAACTTCGCTTTTATGCAGATTATAGCAATTCGCTCATCTACTTTAGTGAATCTGGAGACGAGGTCTTTTATTCGCCTTTTAATCATAAATCCGCAGCCGCAGAATTCATATCTCGTGTCATGGCAGCTATAATAAAGGGCGTAATTGTCTGATTTACTTACGCCTGTCCTTACAATCGCAACAATCGGCAATAATATCGGCTTTGTACTTCTTGAGTAAATCCGCCAAAGCGAAGACGAGGTCTTTTATTCTCCTAGTCTAACCATAAATCCGCAGCCAAGTTCGCGTCTCGTTTCATTGCAGCTATACTTACGCCTGACCCTTTCCATCGCATTTCCTGTAAGGCAATTATATCGGCTTTGTACTTCTTGAGTACATCCGCCAAAGCGAAAACTGCGCATATTCCAAGTGCAGATTGTGACCCTTTATACGTTTGCGGGGGTCGTCGTCGACATTAGAGGGTTTTGGTTTTCTTTTTCTTTGCTTTTTTATAGATGGTTCGGTTTTCCGAGTGTGGGCAACAAACCCGACGCCTCAACCCATTTTTTATAGTTCTTTATGGGTGAATTCGCGGCACATATTAGCTCATTATTTCAACGGGTGATGGAAAAATAGCTACCCCAGGTGACACCGCGGGGAGGTCAGTGAGATGAAAGATGGACCAAGATAAGCCTGGACTTCGCCATGTTAAAGCCAATCAGAGCCGTTGCTTGGTATCTCTCATCCCCTACGCCACCCACGCCTTGGTAAAGGTGTCGAAAAATTAATTTTAAAAAAATCTACGCCTTGGTTAAGACCTCCACGCCTTGGTTAAGGTGTCGAAAAATTAATTTTAAAAAATCTACGCCTTGGTTAAGACCTCCAAAAATTAACTTTAAAAAATCTACGCCTTGGTTAAGACCTCCAAAAATTAACTTTAAAAAATCTACGCCTTGGTTAAGACCTACAA